GCATCCAACCAACCAACCAAACAACCAAACAACCAACCATCAAATGCCAACTAAACAAATTTAGTATTAGAAATCAGAAACCAGGCAGATGATAATGTAGGGCACATGACTATGCTTATAAAGAATCTTTTGAATGCAAATGACTATGCTTATAAAGAATCTTTTCAGTGCTAACAGAGAAGGGAAATGGCTTGGGAGAGAAGGAAGATCAGATCTGGGGGAATTGGAAAACACCTTATTTCAGGAGGCAGCTTATTCAGTCATAGAAGATAATACTAATAAAGCAGAGGGTCAATACTAATTGTTAAAATATCATCAAAGATATTGGAAGGGAAAATGTGGGCTCTTGAGTGTATGTGAAGATCATTAATAAAATATACTTATTGGATCAATTGGGATCTAACAGAACATAAAATGTCAATGGAAAATGTAAACATTTTTTATAGAGTATTAGTTATAATTTCATTTGCATTTATCAGTTGTGTTGTTAAGTAGTGGATAGGATCAGAGTGATAATACAGAAATAAAGTGTTTGCCTGGAATGTCGGCTGATTGATTCTGGTATAGTCCCTCGCACCACGGACTGTTCTATGAGTACTATCAGGAATGATCCCTGTGCACAGAACCAGGAATAAGCCCTTAGCACTGCAGCGTATGGCCCAAACACCAATAAAATAAAATAAAATAAAATAAAAATAAAACAAAACAAAACAAAAGATCAGCTAACATATTATTATCTAGAGTCTAGAATATGTGTGTTTTTTTTTTCTTTTTGAGTCATACACCCAGCGATGCACAGAGGTTACTCCTGGCTCATGCACTCAGGAATTACTCCTGGCGATGCTCAGGGGACCATATGGGATGGAAATCGAACCCCAGTCAGCAGTGTGCAAGGCAAATGGCCTACCCATTGTGTGCTGTGCTATTGCTCCAGCCTGTAAGTGCATTTTTAAATTAGATATTTCACCCTTTTTACAGGTGGTAAAATTGAAGCCTAGAGAAGACATGTAATTTTGGCAGCCTGACAGCTAATAGTACTGGAGCAACTTTACTGAATTTTAAAAACTATGTTTCCTGAAAATCAGAATCTTAATAACTATTATTATTAGGATTAATTCTTAGCTTATTATTAAAAATAAGTTAATGCAGAATATCACAATATGAAATACATTTTAACACTTTCAGTATAAGCAATAAGTAAGTATTCCTAATATTTTAAGTAATTAGTGCTTCATTGACTAGGAATATGATGATTGAGGTTCTAAGAATACGAGGGAAGTTTAAAGCTCTCTGAAGAGAACTAATACCCAAGGACAGGAGAAGTGGGCCAGGAGGTCTGGTTCATGGCTGGAAGCTTGCCACTAGTGGTGGGCTGGTGGGGTGAGGAGGGAGGCAGGACAGAGAGACCACCATGACAATGATAGTTTGAAATGATCACTCTGGACAAGAACTAAGTTCTGAAAAGTGGTAAAGGGGTAAAGGAGTATACGTGATAACCTTTTAGTACCTGATTGCAAACCATAATGCCCAAAAGGAGGGAGAGAGGGAAGGAAGGAGGAAGAGAGGAAGAGGGCAAGAGAGGGGAAAGAGAGAGAGAGACAGAGAGAAAGAGAGAGACAGACAGAGACAGACAGAGACAGAGAGGGAGAGAGAGAGGGGGACAGAGAGAGAGAAGTAAAGTATCTGCTACAGAGGCAGGTTGTGGGTGGAGGTGGCAGTAGGGAAGGAGGGAAACTGGGGACATTGGTGGTGGGAAATGTACACTGGTGAAGGGATGGGTGTTGGAACATTATATAACTGAAACCCAATCCCGAACAACTTTGTAATTGTGTATCTCACCATGATTCAGTAAAAAAACATAAGCTCTCTGAAGGTGCTGGATATAGTGGGTGGGGTGCATGCTTTGCATGCAGCTGACCAGGCTTTGATTGACTCCACAGTCCCCTTAATTCTGTCAGGAATGATCCCTAAGCACACATCTAAGGTGTAAGCCCTGAGCACTGCATGTTTGACCCCCCCTCCACACCCCAGACAAACCAAAAACAAAAAAAAGAGAAAAAGTTCTATGAGTACAGAATCTGTTAGATTGATGGTTCTCAAATTATATTACTGGGACCAGCAGCGTTGATATGAGCATCACCTGGGAGCTCATTGGAAATGTACATTCGTAGGACCTACTTTGTATTGAATTAGAAGTCCTAAAAGTGGGACCTAAGCAGTCTTTTTTTTTTTGTTTTGTTTATTTGTTTGCTTTTGGGTCACATCCAGCAGTGCTCAGGTCTTACTCCTGGCTCTGTGCTCAGAGATCACTCTTAGTGCTTGGGGGACCATATGTGGTGCTAGGAATTGAACTGGGCTGGCCACAAATATGACAAGCACCCTACCCATTGTACTGTGTCTCCAGCCCAGCAATCTGTGTTTTCATAAGATGTTCAGGTAATTCTAATCCATCCTTTCATTTAATGAATACTGGACTGAAGACAAGATGCTAGGTGCCATGAGATAATACAGCAAAGAGGAAATTACTTAGGCCTTCACATGTGTGTGAAGCTTTTATATAGCTATGAATTCACACTGAAAGTTTTTATAAGCCAGTATTACTCCAATTACAAATAAAATTTAAAGCCTTTAATGTTGAGGCTAGAGTGATACCTCACAGGACTGTAGTACATGCCTAGAATGCACATGGGCCACGTTTGATCCTTGACACCACATGACCTCCCAAATACTGGACAGTTTCATCCAGTGGCCCATGGAACCATTGAGAAGGGCCCTACCCACAAGAAAGGCTTAAACATAGTGTCAATAGAAAAAAAAAAGACTCATACATTAATTTTTTTTCTATTTTTAGTAGAATCACTGTGAGATACAGTTACAAGATTTCATGTTTGAGTTTCAATCATACAATGATCAAACACCCATCCCTCCACCAGTGCACATTCTCCACCGCCAATGTCCCCAGTATACCCCCCTTTCCATCCCTCCCCCTGCCTCCATAGTAGACAGTTTCCCCCATACTCTCTCTCTACTTTTGGGCGTTATGGTCTGCAGTACAGATACTGAGAGGTTATCATTTTGGTCCTTTATCTACTTTCAGCACACATCTCCCATCCCGAACGATTCCTCTAACCATCATTGATTTAGTGATCTAGTCTTTATTCCAACTGCCTTCTCCCCTAGCTCATGAGACAGGTTTCCAACTACAACCATACTTTTTTTTTGAGGGGGGAGAGTTTTGGGTAGTATGTGGTACTCAGGGTTTACTCTTGATTCTGTGCTCAGGGATCATTCCTGGCAGTGCTTGGAGGACCATATGCGGTGCTAGAGATTGAACCTGGGTTGACTGCATACAAGGAAAATCCCTTACCCCTGTATTATATTTCTGCCCCCTGCCCCCGGTGGTCCATTCTTAGTTACCTTTTTCATTTCAGAGCCCCAAGAAACTTTAGCCTTCATGATACTAATTCTATTGCTTTTTTTAAAAAAAAATCAGGTTTTTTATTGAATCACTGAGAGCAGTGAGAGCAGTTACAAAGCTTTCAGGTGTAAGTCTCAGTCATACAATGATGAAACACCCATTCCTTCACCCGTGCACATTTTCCACCACCAAAAACCCCAGTATAACCCCCCACCCCATACCACACCCTCCCCCACCTGTGTGGTAGATTTCCACATTACTCTCTCTCTACTTTGATTACATTCAATATTTTGACACCAGGCCCACCATTATTATTTGGGATTTTACCCCAACAGTCAGATATGCCAAAAAGGCAACATTAGACAGTTTGTTTTCTATTGTTGATTATGAATAGCATATGAGTTTGGAATTCTGAAATGTTAATAATTAAATCTGGAGGGATTTCTGCCAAAAGCTGCTGGGTTCTGAGATTTGTTTCAGAGTCTCTGGGATCATGGTCATTAAGCAGCTTGATCAGGAGCCAGAGAGACCGTTCTTGGGTGGTGACTCGGGGGTCTCTTTGGCGTGAGGAAGGGAAGGGCTGGCTCTACCCGCATCTTGTGAGGCTCCACGTGTTTTGTCACTGTGGGCCCAAACCTGACTGTCCAATGGCCTCTGGAAGATGGCAGCCACTGAGCTGCCAGGGGGAACAGGTGGAGGGATGGCACTTTTTCCCACCTGTGGGGCCCGGTGCTGGTAACCAAATGCTGAGTCTGTATGCATTTCTGCTATACTGCCTGAGTTTGCAAGCTAATTTTAATGTTAACATCAACCTGGCTGGAGCGATAGCACAGCGGGTAGGGCGTGTTCGCCTTACAAGCGACCAACATGGCCGACCCGAGTTCAATTCCTCCGCCCCTCTCGGAGAGCCCGGCAAGCTACCGAGAGTATTCGATATGCCAGACACAGTAACAACAAAGTCTCCAATGGAGACGTTACTGGGCCCGCTCGAGCAAATCGACGATCAACGGGAGGGCCTTTACCTTTACCTTTACATCAACCTAATAGTATAAAAAGAAAAATGTCAGTGTACTGAATTATATGAGATACCTTTATATAGTCTGATAAGAACTGATTAGGTGGATTTAGGTTCAGTTGCTTTTTTCAGAGTGTGAAAAAAACTTATGATTGGAATTTCTTTTTTTTATTAGTTCTTTTATAATTTTTGTATTATAATTTGGTTTTCCTTGTCAATTTAAGCAAATATGGAGACCCTGAACAACTACTATCTTTAACGCTTTAACATCACACAGAAACATAAAAAGAGTTATAAAAAGCTTCCTAACCTGCAAAGAGTTAGATTGCTTCTGAAATTTACGTTCTTATCCTACTCCTATCAATACTATTTTTATCTTTGTCAAATTTTCCATATAAATGAGAAATTCTGTGTTACCTCAATTACTTGGATTGAATCACTAATCTTAGAAATCTGCTTTATGTTTCATGGTTTTCTGAACTAAGATTATTTTTTTTTGAGTGCGATTAATGAATGAATTAATATTTATTACATGTCAAAAATTCTGTTTCAAAAATTCTATTTCAGCTATGAATTTGTGAAATACCTTCGACAGCATATATGCAGCACCTTGGGGTCTATGATTGAAGAAGAAATGGAAAAATGGACATCTGATCAAAAACAAGGTGAAGAGTCTGGCTATGACACAATTGTACAGCATGTTACTAAAAGGACTCAGGAATCTAAAGAGTGAGTATGCCTACACTAATACTTTGAAGTACATTTTCTTTTAACCGAACTCCTTTTTTTTTTTTTTTTTTTAATTTAATTTTTATTTTTTTAATCTTTTTTTTTTTTTTTTTTTTATAATTTATTTATTTATTGAATCACTGTGGGAAAAGTTACAGAGCTTTCGGGTTTAGGTCTCAGTCATGTAGATACCAAACACATTTCCCTTTACCAATACTCATTTTTAACCCCGAACCCCAATAGACCCCCACCTCCCACCCCTCTCAATTCTTTGTGAGGCAGATGAGTTCTAGTTAATACTCTATCTACTTTGACTAGATAGATTATTTCGATAGAAGATGCACAATTATTGTTTAGAGTTTACGACCCCCCCCCCCCCCCAATCAGACATGCTGAAACAGCGTTGCGGAATGATTCGCTTTCTACAACTTGGTTTAAGAATAAAATGATGTCGCGCGGCCGCAATAGCGGCCGCGCGGTTTTGAATTTCTGCTATTTTACTTATTGACCCTGGAAGAATTTCTATTAAAAGTTAGCTAGTTAAGAGATTGGTTTCTGTGCCCTGGAGTCGTGGCCGTGCCGGAGAGCCGCTCGTGGGGGGCAGCTGGCGACCTCGGTGGGGCGTGGGGGACGGCCCACAAAGCCCCCCTTCCCATGAGGTCCCCGCCGCTCCCCCGAGCCCGGCTCAAACCCGCTTTCCACAAGGCTCCCGTGCGGCTGCCATCTTTCTTTCCAGAGAGGAGCGGGCGGGCTGGTCAACGCCCTTCCCCCTCCGGGCAGGCTTGGTGGCGCGGATCAACACAAGTCCATTTGCTTTTCTGCTCCAAGCGGCTGGTTCTCTGTGCTAAGTCCTTGTGCCTCCGGGGCCGTGGCCGTGCCGGAGAGCCGCTCGTGGGGGGCAGCTGGCGACCTCGGTGGGGCGTGGGGGACGGCCCACAAAGCCCCCCTTCCCATGAGGTCCCCGCCGCTCCCCCGAGCCCGGCTCAAACCCGCTTTCCACAAGGCTCCCGTGCGGCTGCCATCTTTCTTTCCAGAGAGGAGCGGGCGGGCTGGTCAACGCCCTTCCCCCTCCGGGCAGGCTTGGTGGCGCGGATCAACACAAGTCCATTTGCTTTTCTGCTCCAAGCGGCTGGTTCTCTGTGCTAAGTCCTTGTGCCTCCGGGGCCGTGGCCGTGCCGGAGAGCCGCTCGTGGGGGGCAGCTGGCGACCTCGGTGGGGCGTGGGGGACGGCCCACAAAGCCCCCCTTCCCATGAGGTCCCCGCCGCTCCCCCGAGCCCGGCTCAAACCCGCTTTCCACAAGGCTCCCGTGCGGCTGCCATCTTTCTTTCCAGAGAGGAGCGGGCGGGCTGGTCAACGCCCTTCCCCCTCCGGGCAGGCTTGGTGGCGCGGATCAACACAAGTCCATTTGCTTTTCTGCTCCAAGCGACTGGTTCTCTGTGCTAAGTCCTTGTGCCTCCGGGGCCGTGGCCGTGCCGGAGAGCCGCTCGTGGGGGGCAGCTGGCGACCTCGGTGGGGCGTGGGGGACGGCCCACAAAGCCCCCCTTCCCATGAGGTCCCCGCCGCTCCCCCGAGCCCGGCTCAAACCCGCTTTCCACAAGGCTCCCGTGCGGCTGCCATCTTTCTTTCCAGAGAGGAGCGGGCGGGCTGGTCAACGCCCTTCCCCCTCCGGGCAGGCTTGGTGGCGCGGATCAACACAAGTCCATTTGCTTTTCTGCTCCAAGCGGCTGGTTCTCTGTGCTAAGTCCTTGTGCCTCCGGGGCCGTGGCCGTGCCGGAGAGCCGCTCGTGGGGGGCAGCTGGCGACCTCGGTGGGGCGTGGGGGACGGCCCACAAAGCCCCCCTTCCCATGAGGTCCCCGCCGCTCCCCCGAGCCCGGCTCAAACCCGCTTTCCACAAGGCTCCCATGCGGCCGCCATCTTTCTTTCCAGAGAGGAGCGGGCGGGCTGGTCAACGCCCTTCCCCCTCCGGGCAGGCTTGGTGGCGCGGATCAACACAAGTCCATTTGCTTTTCTGCTCCAAGCGGCTGGTTCTCTGTGCTAAGTCCTTGTGCCTCCGGGGCCGTGGCCGTGCCGGAGAGCCGCTCGTGGGGGGCAGCTGGCGACCTCGGTGGGGCGTGGGGGACGGCCCACAAAGCCCCCCTTCCCATGAGGTCCCCGCCGCTCCCCCGAGCCCGGCTCAAACCCGCTTTCCACAAGGCTCCCGTGCGGCCGCCATCTTTCTTTCCAGAGAGGAGCGGGCGGGCTGGTCAACGCCCTTCCCCCTCCGGGCAGGCTTGGTGGCGCGGATCAACACAAGTCCATTTGCTTTTCTGCTCCAAGCGGCTGGCTCTCTGTGCTAAGTCCTTGTGCCTCCGGGGCCGTGGCCGTGCCGGAGAGCCGCTCGTGGGGGGCAGCTGGCGACCTCGGTGGGGCGTGGGGGACGGCCCACAAAGCCCCCCTTCCCATGAGGTCCCCGCCGCTCCCCCGAGCCCTAACCGAACTCCTTGAAGGTAACTCTAACCTTTCTTTCCCAGTCTGCTTCCCTCAGAGCAGACAGAGCATTTCTTTGAAATAATGACTCAGATCATGCTACTCTTACACTCAACAGTCTGAAATTCAGAATTTCTTCTGTAGCTTACAAAGCCCTCCCTGAACTTCCTGCTCCTTATCCTAGCATATTTTATTTATTTATTTATTTTTATAAAATCATAGTCCTTGTCACTCTACAACCACACTTGTTTTATCCAGTTTCAAGTCAAACAGAGCCCTTCCTCAGGGATTTATTAGCACATTTTACCTTTGCAACATAGAATGTCCTCACACAACCAAAATAGTTGCATGAATTGCTCCTTCACTTTTTTTTTTTTATTACTTTTTCTTGTCTTTTTGTTTTGTTTTGTTTTGTTTTTGGTCAAACTTGTGCACAGTCAGTACGCAGGTCTAACTCCTGTCTCCGCACTCAGGAATCACTCTTGGCGGTGCTCGGGGAACCATCTGGGGTAGTGGGGAGATCAAACCCAGGTCAGCCACATGCAACGCAAGTTGTTTTTTTGATTAGGCCAAAATAGTCATTTGTTTTAGACATCGCAAAAGTCACTGCTAAATGCAAGGTGTCATGTGCGAGGCAACAGACCTGTCCACTGTACCATCTCTCATTCCCTGATTCTTCTTCCTTTTTTAAATATCTTTATGCTAACGCTGACTCTTTCTTCTCTGTTTTTCACTTCTATCTCAATTTTCTTTGGTATATGTTTTTCCACTTTTAATGTTTCTGACTGTTCCCACTACTTTTATATTTTTATGTTTTTTTTCCTCATAATTTCTAGCACTTTAAAAATATAGACATAAGGCTAGAGAAATAGCACAGAGGGTAAGGTGCACTTTCAGGAGTGATTGCTGAGAACAAAGTAAGGCGTAAGCTCTGAGTTTTTCCAGGAATTATTCAGCTCCTGCTTCCAAAATTTATATATATTTATATATATCACTATAACCCCGTTGTTCTTCGATTTGCTCAAGCGGGCACCAGTAACGTTTCCATTCATCCCTGTCACCAGTAACATCTCCATTTATCCCTGTCACATTCTAGTGTAGTTTGATGGCATATTGGGGGCTCTTTCAGAGTCAGGGGAATGAAGACCATCATTGTTACTGTTTTTGACATATCAAGTATGACACGGGTAGCTTGCCAGGCTCTGCCGTGCGGGCAGGATACTCTCAGTAGCTTGCCGGGCTCTCCGAAGGCATGGAGGCTTTTGGGGCAGCCTTTAATCACCTTTACAGGTAGGGCGTTCGCCTTACAAGCGGCCAAAATGGCCGACCCGAGTTCGATTCCTCCGCCCCTCTCGGAGAGCCCGGCAAGCTACCGAGAGTATTCGATATGCCAGACACAGTAACAACAAAGTCTCCAATGGAGACGTTACTGGGCCCGCTCGAGCAAATCGACGATCAACGGGAGGGCCTTTACCTTTACCTTTTACAGGTGTTCCCAGTCAGGAATATATTCGGGCAGGATACTCTTGGTAGCCTGCTGGGTTCTCTGAGAGTGAGAACTAGACAATAGGAGGTCACGTGGCTGCAAATACCGCGAATATAAAAATGGTTTTATAGTCTATGGATCTTGGCCATTGATGGGATTACATGACAGTTGGTGGGTGTAACTAGCTAGCTACTGGAAGATGGGAGATCTGGATGGAGGAGGCCCAGTCCCAAACCGAGAAAGCTTGGAGATCTCAGCCCCGGCTCCCATACACTTGAGTTTCTCTGCTGGTTCCTTCATGCGTGAGGCTTGTCCTAGCATGTAGAGACTGGTCTCAACATGGCTCTGGCTGGGTCCCGGAGGTCTTCAGCTGCGAATATATATATATATATATATATATATATATATATATATATGCTCGAGTGGGCCCAGTAACATCTCCATCGGGAGACTTTGTTGTTACTGTGTTTGGCATATCGAATACGTCACGGGGAGCTTGCCAGGCTCTGCCGTGCAGGCGAGATATTCTCGGTAGCTTGCCGGGCTCTCCGAGGGGGCGGAGGAATCGAACTCGGGTCAGCCATGTTGGCTGCGTGCAAGGCGAACGCCCTACCCGCTGTGCTATATATGTAATAATTAAATTTCTTCACACTTTATTTTTGAGATAACATTGGTTTACATGCCTATATATTTTTGGTATAAAACTTCTTCAAAATATATGCTGCTGCACTCACCACTAAAATACAGATTTCCTCTACTTGTTATATATGTATTCTATATTGTTTTGTAAACTATATATTATTTACCATTATAAGTGTATTTGGGGATTTGGGGCCATAACCTGCAGTAATTTAGGGACAGTCATTCCAGGCATTGAACTGAAGAGCTTTTCACATGTTAAGCTAGGCATGTGCTCTTCAAGGAGATGCATAAGCCATCTCCTGGGCCTACATATTCCTCATTTGTAAAATAAAGTGGGAGACAGGATTATTTTTCTATCTAGCTCTAAATTTCAGAAGTTTTGAGGATCTCATTTTACGATTAGTATGGTTGCTTGAGAGTTTGCACTTAATAAATGGAGAAATTTATTGTACATTCTTTTTGGAACTTAAAGCCCATGAGTTGAAAGGAATCTTGGGAGTTATCTAATTTAAACTCCTGGCAGTGGGCTTACTAGTCTCTGACAGATGTACGTTTCAATTGTGGCTTTAATATATGAAATAATATGGGCAGAACAGGAGGAAGAAAATGCAACCACAGAGGATAGGACGGAGGATAGAAATAAAATGAATTAAAATTAAGTGCAAAGTAGTCTGTTTTGGTCATTTGATACTAATATTTGATTCTGTTGCTAGTAACTTGAATTGATACCAATGGGACATTTTTCCTTAGATTCTATTGGTTTTGCTACCTTGGCCCATGTAACCAGATGAAAATATGACAGAATAAACTTTTCAAATCCTTTGTAATTTTTATTCATGTCCTGTGAATTTTATTGTACCCCACCACCTTTTTAATTTTTTTTTAAATGGACTTGTATTTGTTTTTCTTTTTTTCTCTTTCTTTAGAATTGATTTCCGGAATGGACTTATTTTATATTGGAAAAGAATCAGATAGCTTAATTTAGATGAATGTTTTAACTTGTGCTGATATTTCTTTTATTTAACTACTTTGATTTTTAAGGTACAAAGAAATGATGCATTCCTTAAAAAATGTCATGATGGTTGTGGTAGAATCTATGATTAACAAGTTTGAAGAAGATGATACACGAGGTCAGGAGAGACAGAGAAGAATCCAGAAGGAGGAAAGCAACAGTTACTGCACGGACAATTGTTCTGATAGTGATTCTTCATTTAATCAGGTGTGTTTTTTTAATTTTCATTTGTCTTGAAATGGCGCTTTAATAATTACTGTCTTTAATATATTCATTATCAGCTAGTGTATTTCCTTCTTTCTAGTTTTAAGTTACATAAGATAAATACAACACCCTAATATTAAAAATTATTCAGTGAAAAGACATCTTTTAGAATTGTATTCTTAGTGAATGATTACATTGTATCTGAAGCTACTCTTATGATGTGAGGAAATTATACATGATATGTGGAGATAAAATGGAGCTAAAAACACTTCTTTATATATCATTTGGAGGTTAAAGTGACTATAATTCTTAGTTTTTAAAACTATACTTTTATATTCTTTTGATGTCTCTAAATTTTATATACCACACTTTCATTTTTAAAAAAATATTGTTTTGGCTGGAGCAATAGCACAGCGGATAGGGCATTTGCCTTGCACGTGGCCAACCCAGGTTTGATTCCCCTGCCCCTCTTGGAGATCCTGGCAATCTACCAAGAGTATACCGCCCACACGGCAAAGCCTGGCAAGCTCCCCGTGATGTATTTGATATCCCAAAAACAGTAACAACAAGTCTCACAATGGAGACATTACTGGTGCCCGCTCTAGCAAATCAATGAACAACGGGAGGACAATGCTACAGTGCTGCAGGTATCTCATTTTCTTTTTTCCAAGTTATTGGACTCTTTGTCCTTTGGATGCAAGCAGAGTTAAGAGAAAGGCATAGAACTAGATGAGTCTTTAATAGCAGAGAAGGAAAATGTGTTAGGCTAAAGGCCAGGCTTGCCTGATGATCTTCCTTCTAATGGGAGTCACTCTGACTTTTGTGTGATCCTCCTGATAATTTCAGTGAAACATTTTACCCTAATTAGTTGTAGCATAATGATCATACCATAACATAAATATTCAAAAAAATTACTATAGTTTGGGGCTGGAGCGATAGCACAGCGGCAGGGCATTTGCCTTGCATGCGGCCAACATGGCCGACCTGAGTTCGATTCCTCCGCCCCTCTCAGAGAGCCCGGCAAGCTACCGAGAGTATCTCGCCCGCACAGCTCCCCGTGACGTATTCGATATGCCAAACACAGTAACAACAAAGTCTCCAATGGAGACGTTACTGGGCCCGCTCGAGCAAATCGATGAACAATGGGAGGAACTTTACCTTTACTATAGTTTAGGTAATGTAGTTATAATAGTACTAACCTGTGTGGTTAGCATACACAGTGCTAACATGTGTAGTTTTGATGTACAGTTACTGCACCTGCACTCCATCACAGTGCCCAGGACCTTCACCACTGTCTTTATTTTATTCTAATATATCTCACCCATAGTATACATCTTAATTGTATTAAAAAAATTTGAGAAGTTTGGGTAGAAAGTGAAAAAAAAGTGGAAGGTATGTATTTGGTCATCTCACTCACTATTGAAAGATAAATGGTCTTTGAGGAAGTCGAAGCTAAACTTAAAAAAGTTTGGGCTGGAGCAATAGCACAGCAGGTAGGGCGTTTGTCTTGAACGTGGCTGACCCGGGTTCGATTCCCATATGGTCCACTGAGCACTGCCAGGAATAATTCCTGAGTGCATGAGCCAGGAGTAGCCCCTGTGCATCGCCGAGTGTGACCCAACCCCCCCCCCCCAAAAGTTTCTCTGCTTGCTTAGCCCCTCTCTATTATATCATTTGGTAGAAAAGATTGTTCTGAATTTTGAACTTAATAGTCAGGTTCATCACCTTATGCTATGGAGGATGTGACAGAAATTGTGAATTGTTTTTACATTCTAGCCCTTAATTATTCTTTGTTGATGTACTGACTGATAGATCCCATGTTGTAGAGATTTTAGTTTAGTTTAATGTAATCTGACTGCGTATTTTTTAGCTTTCTTGAGCTAACTTTTATCAGATAAAGTAATTTTTTGGTCTTAAAAGGCTCTTGTATAAACTCAAGATAAAGGCCTCTGGAGGCTCACAGAGTTTATACCTATATATATGTATATGTTATTTTTTTTCTAAATTTTTATTTTTTTTCTTTTTTGCCATAACTGGTGATGCTCAGAGACTGTTCTTGGCTCTGGTCTCAGAGATCACTTCTGATAGAGCTCAAGAGGCTATATGTGAGAGCAGGTTTTCAAAAACTGACTGCACCTTACCCCTTGTACTATATCTCCAGCCCAAGGTTATATTTTCTTACTTATTTGATGAATACATTCAAATTGAAGAGAGAGTAAAAGTGGAACATTCTTATTTTGTTTTAAGAAATACAGATCACAATCACAAATCACAAATCATCCTGTTAATTGTCGATTGCCTCGAGCAGGCCCCAGTAACGTCTCCTTCATCCTAGCCCTGAGATTATATTCAAGGCTCTTTAGGAGAATGAGCCCCATCATTGTTACTGGTATTTGGCATATTGGGTATGCCACGGGGAGTTTGCCAGACTCTGCCGTGTGGGCAGGCTACATTTGGTAGCCTGCCAGTTTGTCCAAAGTAGGAATGAGATAATAAGATGTCATAATAGGATGGTTCCGGGAGCTGGTTTTTATAGTCTCTGAGTCTTGGCCGTTGATGGGATTACACGGCGCCAGGGGGCCAGTTGGTGGGTGTGACCCCCGCCTACTGGAATTTGGAGGATCTGGGTGGAGGATGTTCGGCCCAAATTCGAGTAGGTTTGGAGATCTCGGCCCCGGAACCCGCGTGACTTTGTCCCTCTGCCAGTACCTTCATGTGTGTGGAGAGTGGTCTCAGCATGGTGGTGGCTGGTCCTGGAGGTCTTTGGCTGCCGGAGCCCTGGTCGGGGCAGGGCGGAAAGCTCAACCTACTCCCCTCCAAGGGGCCCCGGCGGCGAGGACAGTCAGGCGCGGGGGCAGGAGACTGATATCTGAAATACAGATACTCAGATCTAAATAGAATTGATAGAATGGCAGTAAAGAATCACTTCACTTATCACTTAACTTCCCGTTCGTCGTCGATTTGCTCGAGCGGGCGCCAGTAACGTCTCCATTTGTCCCTGCCATTGAGCGAACAATGGCATCTGTTCGCTCTGGGAACATGAAGAGCCTCAAACCGATCGTTCATGATCTTGATGAAGAAGTCTGACCATCTGGTAGGTGGGTGGCCACGCGGTCTTTTGACATCCCGTGGAATCCAGTCAGTAACAGCTCTAGTCCAGCGGTCGTCTTTAAATCTCATTACGTGACCAGCCCATCTGATTTTTGACACCTTGGCAAATGAGACAGCATCCCTGATTCTTGATCGTCGATGGATGTCGGAACTCCGGATTCTTTCTCTCATTTGAGTGAAACGTGATATTCCAAACATAGCTCTTTCTATTCTTCTTTGGGAGACCTGAATAGTGTTCTCATCCTGTTTGTGTAGGGCCCAGGTCTCTGTGGCATAAAGAAAAGTAAAGGCAGTAAAGAAATCTCAAATTTATTTCCATTTATTGTCTTCACGCTTTTAAGTTTCTGTTCTTTCCTTTGGGATGACCAGAGGGTATATCTGCATTTATGAAAGTATCTTCCTAATGAGTGTGGCTTTATTTTAGAAGGGACTAATCCTGTTGAAAGTGAACTTTGCCTGTCAGCAATCTAAGGAGCACTGAGAGTTTTGAAAGAAGCTTACGAATGTCTGGTCCTGTCCTGGATGCTCTTTCAATGTGACCAAACAACATGTGGTTTTTTTTTTTTAGAGAAAAAAGACCTTTATGTCACTGACCAGAAATCAATATGTTGAGAATGAAAGAGTTTCTCTGAAAATATATCAGACATCATTCCATTAAATGTTGATGTTGTTAATGAGGCCTTCCAAATTGATGTTACCTGCTCTGGGCTTAAAACTGGTCTGAGTTTTTCAGTGAATATCATTGGGTAAACAGTTTTTTTGCTTAATAGAAAGCTTTCATTTTGTGACATCAGTAGAAGACATACATGTTTTGTGAATTGCATAACATTTACTTGATTGTTGCTATTTAAAAAGTTGCATCCTTATTACATGTGAATTTCTAACCTATTATTGAAAGTTGTGGGATTTTACTGAGCTTGTAAACTATTAGTGTAAGTTTGAAGATATTAAAGAAGAGATACTATTTTTCACTTTAATTGTGAGCAGAGCTAGGAAAGGTTTTAGTATTGTGATTAAACCTTGAAAGACTCTGTAAAATGATGCTGAAAAAATAAAATAATTAAAAAGCTATTTATTACTGAGGTCTCTGCCATGCTCTATTCCCTGCAATTGACTTTGTATTTCCTTTCAACATTAGTAGCTCACTCTACAGGCTTATTGTAACAGGTAAGTAATTTCACCAAAATTGTCTTAGTTAAGAGCAAATTGTAAATTTAAGCCCAGCCCCTCTTCCAGTTTCTTTGTTTTATCTCTACTACCAGAGGATGGCCTCCATTCAAATCTCAGTTCTACCTTTTTTTAGTTTATGGGAGCACGGGCACATGTTTTAACTTTCCCGTGACAAACTATTTCTTGTTTGTAAAAATGGACATGATAATGCCATTTATCTGATGAATATTATCATGTCCTTAGAGTAGTTGCTGCTGCTCTCTTCATGCTAGCCTTCATTGTTGCTATCTGTGGAAATGGATGCTATTTAGAGATGCACTCAAATAGAAAATTTTTGAGCTGTGGTCCTGTACGATTTCTAATTGAGCTTCTCTACTGCTGGGAAATTAGAGGGTTCTCCCTAGGTACGATAAGTTTTCAAAATTATACCCTTTCCTCTTGCCTTTTCTCTGCCTTCCTCTTTCCCGATAATATTCATTGTAGCATGGCACAGGCATTATGCTATTTTATAGTGTGCAAACTACTTTATTACATTCCCCAGGGTGTACACCTTATATGAATAAAGTGAATTTAGGATAGCAGCTATCTGAAATTGCATGATGTAAACCTGCTGAAGGTATTTACTGTTTCTTTGTGAAATCCATCCTTTAATATCTATGCTAGGAAGAATACAGGTCACATAAAAATGTCCATGTCCCATTTCTGGAACCTGTGCACTTATTTCCTTACATGGCTAAAGAGACTTTGTCATTGTGATTCTATTAGGGACATTCAGTTGGGGAGACTTCCCTGAATTATCCTGGGTACTTAGAAGAAGCATATATAATCAATCACACATGTCCTTAGAGGGAGCACTTTGGAGGGTCCGTCACAGAGGTATTATTCAGGATAAAGAAGAGGTCAGGCTGATAATGATTGTTGGCTTTGAAGACGGATGGGGGAATGCAGAATGCAGACAGTTTCTTGAAGCTGCAAATGGCAAGGGCATGAATTCTCCCCCTAAAGCCATCGGAAGGTACACAGTTCTTTGGATGCATTTTAGTGTTCTGACCTCGGAAATAAGATTGTAAACTTGTGGTATTTTAAGTCACTAACTTTATGGTAATTTGTTTCACCAGCAATCATAAATGTATGCTATGCCCCTCTCTATATAGTTCCCCTGTTTCCTCCACCTTCAGTGCCAAGACTGGACTGATTTTTCATTTTTGAAATTTTTGTTGATTTATTTTTGTTGGGGAGTGGCAGGGGTTGTGGGTTTACTCCGCTTTGTGCTCAGGGATCACCACTGGTGGTGCTGTGGAGACCGTATGTGGTGCTGGGTATCAACTCTTGTCAGCTACACACAAAACAAGCACTTTTTTGGGGGGTTTTGTTTTGGGGCCACACCTGTTGCTGCTCAGGAGTTACTTCTCATTCTGTTCTCAGGAGTTACTCCTGGCAGTGTTCAGGGGACTATATGGGGTCACATGCAGGGAAAATACCCTACTCGCTATACTATCATTCTGTACATACATGTTATAAATCTCTGTGACCCCAGAGAGACTATAAGACTTTACAAGCTCTGTTCAGCAACATCAACTGGGACAGTAACGACAGCCTAAAACACCCTTCTGAAGAGGCTTCCGTTTTCCCATTGTATTTTGGATTTGCTAAGTCCGAAATGCCTATTATAAATGTCCAAGTGAAATCTTGAGAGACTAATTATATATGTAATTCTTGTAGATAAAAGGATTGGCAAGCTCAAGGCAGCATCACTGGTGGAAATAATATGTCTCTAATGTGGATTGGAAACTGAGTTCTGCGGGCTGGCTGACTTCAAGTTGTCCTATCATTGGTTTTCATACTCAGTGATTATAAATTAAGATAGTATAGGGATTGTTACATAATAATAAGTAGCAACTGTTATCATTGCTATTTTTTTTTACTTATGGATGGTTATTTTAGGTATTATGTAATTCCCATACTTTATCTTACCTTTTCTAAAATAGTGTATGGTCTGCTATTATCATTGATCATTGCAGGAAGTTTTTACTGTCACTGTCACTGTCTTCCTGTTGTTCATCGATTTGCTCGAACGGGCCAAGTAACATCTCCATTTTTTGAGACTTGTTGTTACTGTGTTTGGCATATCGAATATGTCACGGGTAGCTTGCCAGGCTTTGCCATGCTGGCGAGATACTCTCGGTAGCTTGCCAGGCTCTCCGAGAGGGGTGGAGGAATCGAACTTGGGTAGGCCATGTTGGCTGTGTGCAAGGCAAACACCCTACCGCTGTGCTATCGCTCCAGCCCAGAGAAAGGCTAAGAAATGGAAAAAAAAATGAATGAAGAAAAGAAACAAAAAACATTTAAGCAGAATTGTAGCTGTGCCTGTGATATTATTGTGCCTGTTTATTTGTATTATATTCATTCATCTCATGTTGCTGAATATAAAACATTTTGGCTTTACGTATATTGAGTGCTATAATGTTCTATAAGTCTCTTGTTCTGGAATGCACTTGCTCAGGAAATAATAATAGTTTTTAATGTACATAAAGAAAGGTGTACTTTTCTACTGGTACATTCAGTTTTCATATTGCCTTGGGAAACAAATTCTAAGTTTGCTGACAAATCAGAATATATCATCTTTTTGTTCAGACTGTATCTTTTATGCTTGGACTTACACTGAAAAATCATTTATATCAATATTTCTGAAAGTTACTAAATAAAAAAATATTCTGTCTGCTATGTTACAGAGTTACAAATTTTGTCAAGGAAAATTACAATTGATTTTAGAACAGTTGGAGCCTGGGCAACCTAAAGAGGTAAGTTTAAAAGATAGGCACCATGTTCAGTCAGGGGTATATATTTTAGGTCCGTAGTTTATAACAGATTATAATCAGTAGCAGCTGGACTGTTCCCTTGATGATATGCCTTTGTCACTATGGCACTTCTACACTGATACCCCTATTATTATGGCAATTGGATATTAATATCCATGCCTGATTTTCTGCTCTGGAAATAATGGTGACAGAGTAAGGAAGGCTTTCTTTATAGGTTCTTTATGTCTTTGAAGAAAAGTTTTTATTTTGGGCTTCAGTTTTGAAGGGATGCATTTAAGCATAAACTTTTTCTTCACTGTTGTTTTGTAGCTGATATTTTTGTAACTTATTAGAGGAAAGCAGTCTTTAATACTCTACTTTCACAAAAATGTTAGGATCTTTGACAGATACATTCATTTACTACAAAAAGGGATTTTTCAAAAGCAATTTTATTGAACTGTGTCTCTTTACAATGTAAAAGATTATATGAATTTCCATGAGTCTTATTTTTTTTTTTCAAAAGTCAGTATGCAGTAGACGATATGAGAGGATTTATGAAGATTTTGTTAAGTATCTTGTCATTTGGGCTTACGTTTTAAATAGTTTTCTTCAATTTTTCATTTTAAACTTAATAGTTATAATTTACTCCCACTTAAATTTTCATCAGAAGAATAATTTTCCTCTCAGTATTTTGCTTTCTGATTTATTTCTTAGTAAATCACTAGCTTGTTTCAAAGGATATTGCAAATGGACTTGATTTTTATGTGATAACAATCTTATTGTCTTCCATTTAAGTAGATTATTTATAAATTTAAGCTTCTTTGGAGACCTTTATTCTACTTTTGCAATACGTTTTCAGTGGGATCCTAAAAATGAACTGAAATGGAGAAATTATTTAATAGTGTTTAGCTTTCCTTAGTCCCCCTAAACCCTTTAACAAGTTAATCATATTTAAGAATTCTTTTATATAGAGGCAATTTCAAATATATGTGTAGTCTCGCCCTCCTCCCCTTCCTCCCTTTGTTCGTGATAACTGGGAGTTGCACGTGACTTGGTTGTGTTGCTTGCACATTTAGTTGGGGTGAATGCACACTTGTTGTCATGCTTCCCAGGGCCCGCTCATTTCAGTTGCAGTATTCAGCAGAGGTTGCACACTTGCTCACCTTATTTATCTACTCTGGTTGCTGTGTTAAACACATGGCTGCAGGGTGCCAGAGAAGGCGGACTTTGTTATGGCCTTGAGGATTGCACACTTTTTGAGGTGGCAGAGATCACAAGCACTGGTGCGTCCTGGACTGCACAGGGCATGTGGGACCAAGCTGGGGATCATACCTGTATTCTTTTAATTGATTAGTAAATTTATTTTTGGTTTTGTTTTTAAGGCCATAATCATTGGTGCTCAGGGCTTGTTCCTTGGTCCATGCTCAAGGACCACACTTAGCACTGCTCAGTAGACCATCTGGGGTGCCAGGGATTGAACCTAGGTGGGCCGCATGTGAGGAAAGTGTCTTGCCCACTCTGTTATTTCTTTGGCCCATTTGTCTTCTTCACGGAGGTGAGCTAGCTATCCTGGGGACTGTGTGGTTTTTTTGTTTGTTTAAATCCTAAAATTTGTCATCTTAATTCAGAATATCTGGATTCCTGAGGACCTAACTATTACATCTAATATTTTTTGTTTGTTTGTTTTGTTTTTGGATCATGCTTGGAGTGCTTAGGGGCTATAGCTAGCTTGGTAAGGGGGTGGGGGTGTTGGGTGAGGTGCTCTGGGGGATCATGTGGTTCTAGAGATCAAATGGATCTCCCGCATGCAAAGCCCAAACTCCTGCCCCTTAAGCAAGCTGTCTGATCCATCTTTTACTTTCCTTTCATTAAAATAAATGATCATGCTTCAGTTGTTTCTGCTGATAAACAACTAGACAAACCAGATTTTAAGGTAGAGTTTGGAATCTGTGTTACTGATTGAGTGAGGAGAGGAACAGCTTTACTCTGCTCGTGGTTTGGAGTGGAGCTATTCTTCACTGCTTCCCCCGGGTCATGTTGTTTATGGTGAATTTGGATTGGATTTTGAGAAGAATGATTAAGAAGTAAGCTTTCTGTGAAAATATAGAAATTCAATTTTGTATTGCACCACTGAATGACTTTTCTGCCTCACTGGTTAAAAGGTCAGAAAATGTGGAATAGTAGCAAAGAATAAGTTCAAATTAATGGTTTTTTTTGAGGATTGTTGATACATCATGGAATGGGAATGCTTCTTTTTCACTGAGGCATATCTGGGCAGTGTTTGGAAATTAAAATTCTCCAGCGCAGGACCGCCCACTGAACAGGGAGCGTTTGTTCATCAGAACGATTAAAAAAAAAAATCTTTGATTTAGAGTCAGTTACCATCTTTTATTTTCTTCCATTTACATTTGGCAAGAATCACCTCATATACTTGCTGTTTTAATTTTTGCTGTATGTGAAACAGTAAACCAGAAAGTTCTTTTTTTTTTTGTTGTTGTTGTTGCTTCTTTCTTCTTTCTTTGTTTTGGGGCCATACCTGGCTGTTCTCAGGGTTCACTCCTGCCTCTGTGCTCAGTGCTTACTCCTGACTAGCATTATGTGTTTCTGGGAATTGGGAATTGGAATCTACTTAGTATCTTGGTAGGCATGCAGCTTAATCCCTGTACTATCACTACAGCTCTGAAATAGTAAGTTCTTTTTTGTTGTGTAGAACTTAGTTGAAAAAATAAGGTTCCAGGAATTGTTTTATAATGGGATATCTGAATCTCTTTTTAGAATCAGTTACCCACACTTTTAATAGTTTGTTAAGTAGTTGAAGAATTTGTATCCTTGTGGCTGGGTTTTAATACATTTTTTTCTTTAAAAATTTAATAGGTGAGATATGAAGCCTTGCAAATATTATGTTCAACTCCTCCATCTGATGTACTGAACTGTGAAAATTGGACCACTCTCTGTGAAAAACTGACAATGTCTCTCTCAGATCCTGATCCTGTGTTTAGTGTAAGGAAATAATTAGAGTAATTTAAAAAACTTATTTTCTGACTATTCCAGAAGCTATATGAGAGTTTACTTTAGTAGTAGCCCAGATATATTTATAGAAATTTAGCTTTAACTTTTAATTTTCAAAAACATTTTTAGAGGAATAAAGTTACTATTTCATGGGTAGTAGATTAAAGTCTAGTCATTTGTACTTCATTAGCAAATACTAGACTATTACTTTGTATATATTTTTCTATCTTGTAAAAGGATATATAAGTATTTGTAACTTTTTAAAAGAAAAACATTTGCAAAACTTATTTATGTTTAGTAAAGAATCATGATGTATTAAAACTTGAACTTAAAAGTAATTATGATTTATTCTTAAGGGCCCATAAACATTTTCCTTGTGGATTTAGTTTATTTAAAGATTGTTTAAATGCTTGAAGAGACATTAGAAAACTGTAAAGCACTGGAGAAAGCTTAAATGACTCTCTAAATGAATCATAAAAATTTTAGTAATTGTAAAAGTATGGAGTATATAATTGTATTTAAAATTGATTTGCATATGGCTTCAGAAATATTATGTGATGAAAAGTCTAAGCTTTTATGAAAGGTCCATTCTATGTGTGTTATGATGTTAATTAAAAGACTGTCATTATTGGGGTGGAGTGACTGTGACAATACAGTGCTTGCCTTGTAAGTGTCTTACCCAGGTTTTATCTCTGGCACCCAATATAATCCCCCAAGCATTGCCAGGAGTGATCACAGAGTACAGAGCAAGGAGTAAGGCGTGACTGCTACTGGGTGTGACCCAGAAACAAATAATAGCAGCAACAGAAGACTGCTATTATCACCTTGTGTATGTTTTTAGAGTTTTATATTTTTCTTGATGTCAGTAAAAAAAATGGCTTTTAAATTCATGAGTGGTGGGAGGGAAACTGGGGACATTGCTGGTGGGAAATTGGCACTGTTGGAGGGATGGGTGTTGGATCATTGTATGACAGAAACCTGATCATGAGCAGCTTTGTAACTGTGTATCTCACGGTTCTCAATTAAAAAAAATAATAAAAAAAATTGATCAGGTATTATTTTTTACAGAATTTAAGAAATTAGTGCTTACATTTTCTAGTTGTTCAATTTATATTAATTACTTACCCACTTGAGCAAATCGATGAACAACGGGAGGACAGTGCTACAGTGCTAGTTATCCATAATGTTTTTTGTTCTAGTGTAGGTCTGAGCATGAAAACCAAAACCTATATTCTTCGAACTTTGTGTTCTAGTACAGGTGATGGTTTTAAAAAACTGAAGCTCTCACTACATTTGAATAAAATGTTTCCATGTCTAAAATAACATATTTTTTCATGAATGATGATAAACATTAGCTGTTAACAAATGGTTTGGGAGCGGTTTATTATTTTTTTATAGAGGGAGAAGGGTGTTATATTACTTAATATTTAGATGGAGTTGAACTTTACAACACCAGAGGGCGATGTAGACTTCTGTAAAAGCTCAGTGATCCAAGAATTTTCCAAGGGGTTATTTTTAGCATTTCAGTAAATTTCCCAGTATTTTTCTGTTAAACAACCACACAGAATAGTGACCTAATAGGTTTCTTCTAGTTATTTAAATTACATAAAAGGTACACTAACATAGAGTGAAGGTCCTAATGTGTCAATATAAGTTGGCTTATTTAGCCATTATAGACTATTATGCAGCAAGAGTATTTTATGAGTATTTTATGAACTTCATATCAGTACTTTATGAACTGAAGGAAATTTTTATATAGTAAGAGAGAAAAAATGGTAATAGAAACAGTCATTTGGAGTAGAAAACAGGGCAATGTACATTTCACATTCATGTGTGTGTGTGTGTGTGTGATGCAGTTTTTTTGTTGTCTTATCTGTTTCTTATTCTTTTCTAAATAACTCTGACATACAACTGAATAGTTGAAAGTTTGACAGATGCTTCTCAAAGCATTTAATATTCCAAGTTCAGCAGGAATCTCTTGGGCTATTGGAAGATTTTCAGTCATGTAGATGTCCATTCTTATAAGAATAATGTACGATATAGGCAGTTTATTAGTTTTCTCTTCACAGAATGAAACGTTTGAGAATTTGCTTTCATTTAATGGGACGTTAGATTTCACTGTTGTGATGAAATTATTTCTAAGAAAATGTTGGTATAATTAAAATAATTGTGATCATTTTAAAGAAGCTGTGCTTAGTATAATATTCCATTGTGTACGTACCAAGGTTTCTTTAACCAGTCATCTGTTCTTGGGCACTCAGGTACTATACAGCTGTTAGAAAAGGTAAAGTCATAAAATTTACATACAAGTGGTTCTACATGGAAAGTATTATGCTAAGTGAAATGAGTCACAAAGAGAGGGACAGACATAGAAAGAGTGCATTCATCTGTGGAATATGAAGTAACAGAATAGGAGACTAACACCCAAGAATAGTCGAGATAAGTACCAGGAGGTTCGCTCCATGGCTTGGAGGACAGCCGCACATGCTGGGGGAAAAGGCAGCTCAGAGAGAGAAGGGAACACCAAGTAAAGGGTGTTGGGAGGATCCGCCCAGGATGGGAGAAGCATGCTGAAAGTAGACTATAGACTGAACATGATTGCCACTCAATACCTTTGTTGCAAACCACAACACACAAAAGGAGAGAGAGAACAGAAGGAAATGCCCTGCCACAGAGGCAGGGTGGGATGGGAGGGGTTTGGGGGGTAGTGGGAGGGTTACTGAGGTCATAGGTGGTGGAGAATGGGCACTGGTGGAGGGATGGGTACTCGATCATTGTGTAATTGAAACCCAAGCACAAAAATTTGTAAATCTACAACTGTACCTCTATGGTGTTTCACTAATAAAAATCAAAAAGAAAAATAAAGAGGCTGTGCTAACCATACAGATTATCTCATTTGATTTACTTGGCGATAGTTTCGACTTTGAGTTTTAGTATTATAAGATTTTAAAAATATTTTGCTATGTAATATACATGTATATTTAAATTGGCAAAATCATTAGCCCAAATATCTAGTTACTGAAATAAAATACAATTAAAAAATAACAAACAAATGTTTTTTGAAAGGTTATTGGAGCGGTAGCACAGTGGTAGGGCATTTGCCCTGCATGCAACCAGCCTGGCCTAGCCGGGTTCGATTCCTCCGCCCCTCTCGGAGAGCCCGGCAAGCTACCTAGAGTATCTCGCCTGTGCGTCAATGCCAAACACAGTAACAACAAGTCTCAAAATGGAGACGTTACTGGGCCCGCTCGATCGAGCAAATCGACTGTCTTTTTTGTTACTTTATTGATTTTTTAAAAAACAGCTCATTATTTGGGCAATAATACTGGCAATGTTCTCACTTCTGGTGGTGCCTGGGGGGACCATAAGTGGTGCTAGGGATTGAACATGGGTCTGCTGCATGCAAGGCAGGCACCTTAACTTCCAGCCTTGTGTTTCTTTATGTTACACCTTCCTGTTATATCTTCCCAGCTCCCTCCATCTCTACCCCTATTATCACACTTTACAGAAATACACTGATGTTATTTGACTTACTGTATTTTGAGTTAATTTTATTTTTTGATGACTGCTATAAGAAAATGTTTTTCTTTTCTTTTTTTTTTTGTGGTAGAGGTGATTATTGGGGATTCTTGGGCCACACTTTACTGTGTTCAAGGGCTTCTTCCTGACTCTTCTCTGTGATCACTGTGGCAGTGTTTGGGGAACCACATGTTTTATCAGGTATAGAACAAGGGTTGACTTTATGCAGATCAAATGCCTTAACATCTGTACTAGCCTTTTAGTTTAGAATATATCCCCTTTTACAGTTACATTTATAATCAGGTTTCTGAATAATTTTTTAAAAGTTATTTGTATAAAATATCTCATTACTATATTTTTGTAAGGATATTTATTTTGAGATGCTAATCCTTTGTCTTCTCTTCATAGGACCGAATTTTGAAATTCTATGCACAGACGTTTACACTTTCACCACTACATATAACAAAGGAAATTTATACAAGCCTAGGTATGTTTATAAAGACATTTTTATATGCAGTTAATAAAAACTGATTTAGAGTTAATTTTCAGAAAGCATTTTAACTGACAGACTCTGTTATGTTTTTCTTTTCAGCTAAATATTTGGAGTTACATTTTCTTTCTAGAGAAAATCATATTCCTGCTCTTTCAACTGGTATAGATATAAATAACCCTCATGTATATTGTTTACTTAAAAAGGTATTTATTTTACTTTTATTTAAAGACCTTTGCATTTAAGGATTCTGATTATTTGAGACTTTCTCTTCTTTTCTTTGCAGGTTCGTCTTCTAAATGAGTATCAGAAGGAGGTTCCATCTTTCTGGATTCGTCACCCTGAGAAGTAAGTCCCTTAATTTCTCCCACATAATATATAGACAGTGAATGTAACTTTCCCATACATTTCAAAGAAAAGGAAAGTTTTGATAGACATTTTTGGGAAGGGATTAATTCAGTTTTCGTGTTTTGTAGTTAACCATGCATATCAACACTTAATACCGTTTTGCTCCATTTATTTATCTCAACAGGGAAATAGGATGTTGTAGTCTCTAGTTATTTTATCATTGGTCTTTGGTACTTTGGGCATGCTTCTTGGGTTTTTTATTTGTTGTTTTGTTTTGGGGTCATACCCAGAATTACTTGGGGCTTCTTCCTGGCTCTGCTCAGGGGTCACTACTGGTCATGCTTGGAGGACCATCAGTGATCAGGGGATTGAACTGTGGTCTGATGTGTGCAAGGCAAGTGCCTTACTCCTGTACTATTTCTCTGACTCCTGGACATGTTTTTTAAATATTTTTTAAATTGTTTTCTTTCAGTTCTAAATTAAAAATTATCTGAAGCCCTGTGAATTATAATACTGTTAATGATAGGGTTTTAGGCATACATTTCAACCTTGCATTGTCCACCAAAGTATTGACTTCTTCTCCATTGTCTTAGGAGTATCCCTCCCCAGTTCTAACATTTTATTATATATTTTAATTAGTCATTTTTATTTTATTAATTTTTTTTGGGGGGGTGGGCCTGGTGCCCTAAGCTTTAGTGCTCAGGGGCTTTGTGCTGAGGAGTTACCTTACACCACTTATACTATGGCTTTGAACTTGTGCCAGTTGGGTGCAAGACAGGCATTTAACCTTGTCCTATCTCTCCAGCCCTCTATAATATTTAGTGGGATATCATAGTATCTGTGAATCTAAAAAATAAAAGTTAAGCTTGGAGGTCTATGAAGAAGACAGGTTCTGAAAGAGACACAATTGACTGTGAACCTGATTTCCAATAATTTTCTGAAATATTAAAAAAAAAATTCTGAAGATGATGTTTCCGAAAATTAAAAATATATTAGCATCACTGTCTATATAATAGTATATTTAATAGTCATGGTCACGGTCCTCCTGTTGTTCATATATTTACTTGAGTGGGCCCAGTAACATCTCCATTGTGAGACTTGTTGTTACTGTGTTTGGCATATTGAATACATCACGGGTAGCATGCTAGGCTCTGCTGTGCGGGCGGGATACTCTCGGTAGCTTGCCAGGCTCTCTGAGAGGGGTGGAGGAATCGAACTCGGGTCGGCCATATTGACTGCGTGCAAGGCAAACGCCCTACCGCTGTGCTATCGCTCTATCTATATAAAATAATTTCTTTTTCAAACTCTAAGGTATATGGAAGAAATTGTGGAGAGTACTTTGTCTTTGCTATCCATTAAACATGAGCAAAGCCATCTTGTCTCTCAGAAGATTTTGGATCCAATCTACTTTATTGCATTAGTTGATACTGAAGCTGTGTGGTTCAAAAAATGGATGGTAAGAAAAAACATGGAATCATAGAATTTTAGAATATATTTGATATACTGACATATTGTTTCAAAGTATAATTAACATTCAAAGTATAATTAACAATTAACAAGTGTTCTCTATGTGCTAAGACTTAAAATCATCTTTTAAATTCTTATTGCAACCTATTATTGGTAGTATTACCTGATTTTTTTCAGGTATAATGATTGAGGCATAGGGAGGAGAATAAGAAACATGCTCAAGATTATTCCAGAGCCAGATGGTATTTAAAATGATATTTCATTTTTATATATTTGAATGACCTATTGCAAATCTCATTTTTTAAAAAAAATTAAGACTCAAATTTTATAAGCAGATGTGGGTAGGGATACATTGCTCATTTTTCTCTGGTTTAGAAGACAGTTTTGGAAAACATCCCTTTGCCTTCTCTTCAACTGGCAGTTTGGAAATGTTTATAAATATGCAGGCATTAATTTCCCATGGAAAACACTGCTGTCCTGAAGAGCAGCAATAAACTATTAGGAGAAATCGTGTGAACTCTGTAGTGCATTGTGGAGTGGGAGGGACACCTCTGGCCGGGGTAGGGTAGCTTTGCGCTGCAGCCTCACATTCTCCTGTTGCAGTGGAGAAGGGTGGGGCAGGGGCCAGGACTGTCACTGAAGCATGCAACAGAAGATAGTGACATGTTCACTTACTGTGAAGCACAATTTGTGATTGCTGGTCATTGGCTTCCTACGCTCCTTTTGTTGTCTAATCTGTGACAAATCCACAGTAAAGAAAACACAGTTCCACCCATTGTGTAAACCTCACCTGACCTATGCAGTACAGCTTTGATAAATGTTTGCTGAATGTAATTTAGCTTGAACTTTTTGTTCTTCGCATCTGACATAACCTTTCTGTTTTTTTGTTTTTTATTGATTATCAAATTATACCTTTGTAGGAAACATGGCAAAAATAATATAAAAGAATGAATAAAATTAAAGTCCTCTTATTCTGCAATGCAGGGATAATAACTATTAACATTTTGGTTTATATAATTTTATTCAGTTTTAGGATTTATCTGTTTAGGTCTTTAGCAAAAATAAAATCATGTTCTACTGTTTGTAACGATTTTTCTTTTACTTAACATTTTGTCTAATATTGAATTTTTTTTTTTTTTGCTTTTTTGGGTCACACCCAATGATGCACAGGGGTTACTCCTGGCTCATGCACTCAGGAATTACTCCTGGCAGTGCTCGGGGGACCATATGGGATGTTAGGAATTGAACCCAGGTCACCCGCTTGCAAGGCAAACGCCCTCCCCGCTGTGCTATCGCTTTAGCCCCTAACATTTAATTTTTAAGAGAATGAAAAGATTTCAAGAAAACTAGCAATTTGAAAATGATTTGAAAAAATTCAGATACTTAATTGTGTTTTAATAGTAATGAAAATGTATCACCTTCTCCTGAACTTGTCTAAGAGAAAAGCTGACTGACTTTTGATTGGAAAGCTAAATTGGCCCGAGGGTTGCAATTTGTTGATATTGTCTAAAGAATGCACTATCTGGATTTCTTTTTAGAAATGATCAATAATTTCATTTTGTGTCAGCATATTTCTTACATTAAAACTGAAGTTAACCAAAACACCAGTTGAGCCAAAGGTTAACCTTTGGTTAACCTGCAGTTAACCAAAATACAAATTTAATTAACTAAAAAGTTTATTCTAGAATTCTGCTATTTCTAAATGTCTATTGTTTTATGTAATTTTTTGATAAGGGAAATGAAAATTAGTAATTTGAAACATAATTTGTATAACTAATATCTGTGTGTATATATTTTTTTAATACAACATATGAAAAAACATGTTTTGATCCTATCTGTACTTGACTGTAAGAAAATTTAGGAACTTTTTGCACTTTGACTCACTCAAAAAAGAAGTGATCAGAGCCTCATTCAGACCGCATTCCTTGAGAACATTTCAACCCTGTTAAATTCCTTCATTTGTAGACAGTACTGTATCCTTTTTGGTGTGAGGGTTATGATTTCCTCCCTCTCCTTTGCCCTCAGTTGTAATCTTTATTTCAGCTTCTGCCATACACCGATTTGCTTTTAGGAGGTGATTTAAAAATACATGCAAAGTGGGCCCAGTTGAGGGATAGAATGTTTTTCTACTGATCTATTAATAAATTTTCCACAGTTCATGATATCATTTGCGTTCTTGTGACTGCTATATTATTAATCTATTGTACATAGAAAACCTGTTTGGCACTGATTACAATAATTTAAAACTAAATTATTGTGTAACTTATGTTATTGGAAGTAGAGCAGAAAAATGGATTTTGAATAATATAGCTTGAATATTAAAGTAAATGTTATTTTTATCCTAATTTAGCATGCATATTATAGCAGAACTGCAGTACTAAGACTTCTTGAAAAGAAGTATAAATCTCTGGTAAGTCTATATATTTAGAAATAATAACAATATATTATGTGATATAATAACTTATGTGTAAAGCTGAATGATAATATTGCATAATAAATCAATCTCCCTTTTATGTGATTTTGCTTACAATTCTATGAAACACACACACACACACACATATATATAGAGAGAGAGAGAAGAAGAAGAAGGAATGAGAGATTTAAAATGCCATCAGGTTAACAATAGAAAATTATAGTATACATTAAATTGGGCTGCTATATTTAATAAGCTAGAGACAAGCCATCTTTTTTTTTTCTTTTTGAGTCACACCCGGCGATGCACAGGGATACAGGGATTACTCCTGGCTCTTAACTCAGGAATTACTCCTGGCCTTGCTCGGAGGACCATATGGGATGCTGGGACTTGAACCTGGGTCGGCCGTGTGCAAGGCAAACGCCCTACCCGCTCTGCTATTGCTCCAACCCCGAGACAAGCCATCTTTTTAAGTACTATCATATAATTTAATTTATTTTAGGACAGTTTTGTAAAATATATACATGTGTTTTTAACTAGGAGTTGCATGAAAAACTGATAAATGTATTGCATTTATAACAAGAGTTCGTTTGAGTTCCATAAAATATAAATGAATAGTGTAAAATGTATTAGCAGAATTATTCACATTTGATGTTGTTGGTAGCATAATATGTAAAGGCACTGAAAGGAATTGAAAAGAAACCAGCAAGTGAAATATTGAGAAGCATGGCATTTATTAAATTATATAAATTTCCAATTTACTATGACATGATTAACTTTGAGATGATATGACTTTGAGACAATCAGTATGACTTACGTAGTTTGATATAATCTTGTGGTTAGAAGTTGGGAAAAGGGAAAGGTTTCTAGAATTGTAAATTTTTGGATGAGTTCAGTAGAGCATAAAATGAAAGAAAGAGAACTATAATTGTTTTGTATTCGAGAATCAGGAGAATCGAGTGTCAGAAGACGGAGAAAGGGATATCGAATAGGATGGGAATTTATTTGTAGAGGTAATAGATGCTTTACTCTTTAGAGAAATTGAATTGAAATATAGTCATTCCACATCTCATTTCTCTCCCATTCCCATTTTAAATGAAAATTTGTGGTTACTATATGAGCATAGATTGATTTTGTTAGGCTGAGGGCGGGGGGAACTAAACAGGATTATATTTTTACTCCATGCTTGACATACAAATAACTTACTATTGTTATCCCAGAGACCCCCAAGAGGAAATATTTCAAATGTATTTCTTATAGACTTAACTGTTCACATTTAAAAATAAGGAACATATTTTAATTATATTCTGCAGATAGTTCTCCCAAAGTATGTCATTATTTTTTTTTCCCTTTATTGTATTTTATTTTTTTTAAAGTTGTAGATTTACAATTTTTTGTGCTTTGGTTTCAATTATACAATGATCAGATACCCATCCCTCCACCAGTGCCCATTTTCCACCACCATGGATAATATCCCTCCCACCCCCATCCCCCCATCCCCCCTGTCTCTGTGGCAGGGCAATCCCCTGTGTTCTCTCTCTCCTTTTGGGTGTTGTGGTCTGCAAAAGAGGCATTGAGTGGCAAACATGTTCAGTCCATAGTCTACTTTCGACATGCATCTCCCCTCCTGGGAGGATCCTCCAAACATCCTTTATTTGGTGCTTCCTTCTCTATCTGAACCGCCCTTTCCTCTAGGATACCCGGCTGGCCTCTAAGTTATGGAGTAATCCTCCTGGTGCTGATCTCAGCTATTCTTGGGTATTAATCTCATACTTTGTTACTTTATATCCCCCAGATGAATGCAATCTTTCTATGTCTATCCCTCTCTTTCTGACTCATTTCGCTTAGCATGATACTTTCCATATTGTACCACTTGTATGTAAATTTCATGACTTCATCTTTTCTAAGAGCTAGTATGTCAGTATTTTATCAACTTGGTCATTTTGTCTCAAGTACATTATTGAATCAAACTCACAGGCGATTTGAGTTTATACTTAGTTTTCTTCTAGAATATCTTCTTTGTCTCTTTCTCCTCTCCCCCTCCCCCTCCCCTCCCCCTCCCCCCTCCTCCTCCTCCTTCTTCCTCCTCCTCCTCCTCCTGGTGTGCCTCAGGGAGCCTTAGGAGGAGGTGTCAGGGCTAGAACCCTGATGAGCCCAGGCAAGGAAAGTACCCTACCCACTGTGCTATTGCTCCAACCTTTAAAGCTTTCTTAAGTTTATAAAATATCAAAAAATACATTTTGATGCAAAGTTGGCTCATATTATGAAAGCTAACTAGGAGAAATAAAAACAGTGGCTATTAGTTGTTTCTATTTTCTTGATTTAGGATCACATTTTATTTGAATTTTTCCATGGATTTGTCTTTTCCTTTCTTAAAGAGCTGTTTGGAGAAGTATGTTCCTTGTAGCAGCCTATTTGGTGTGATGATCTACTAAAGCATTTCTTCTGATAATATTTTCTGCAACAAAATTGCCTGTGTTTTGCATTGCATAGCTGTGTAGGCACTAGCTATATATATTTCGACTGAAAAGTTGAAGTATCATTTAAGTTGAATTTTTAATTAAAAACATTTTAAATATAAAACATTTTAAATATAAAACTAATTTGTGATTGGAGGCTATTCTGTGCAGTTCTTTTCACATTTTTGATGTTTTCAGCAAATAATATTATACAACAAAATATATGAAAATTTAAAGAGGCAGTTGATGAAGTTAGTTTTGCTTTTGTAGCCTTGCAAAGGCATGAACTTGTTGAAAAGTATATTTTCATTTTATGTAAATATATACCTTTTACTTTTTAACAAATTGAATCTTTTGTCCAGTTTTACCTTAGAGTAGCTCCTGAAATTATTTTATGTGGTGTCTGTGCACTTATTTTTTTATACCCTCTTAAAATGATTTTAAGAAGCATTGGCATCTGTTATTTTAACTCTCCTTTGGATTTTTCTGTATTCCTGTTTTTGTTTTATTTTTGCTTTAACATCCTCTCTCCCTTCATTCCATTTTTGGGATTCAAAATTGAGTATATACTGGCTATTGTGTAACTGATAGTGAAAGAGAATGATTAGCAAATAAAAACTTGAATTTTACAGAAAGTTTCTGTTAATCTTCCTGATTGGGAAAATCTTTTCTTCTTCTTCCTCCTCCTCCTCCTCCTCCTGCTCCTCCTCCTCCACCTCCTCCTCTTCCTCCTTTTTCTCCTCCTCCTCCTCCTCCTTCTCCTCCACCTCCTCCTCCTCTTCCTCCTCCTCCTCCTCTTCCTCCTGCTCTTCCTTCTCTTTCTCTTTTTCTTCCCTCTCCTCCTCCTTTCTTCCTTCTCCTCCTCCTCTTCCTTATCCTCCTCCTCCTCCTCTTCCTTCCTCCTCTTTCTTCTCCTCTTCCTCCTTGTCTTCTTTCTCTTTCTCCTCTCTTCCTCCTCCTTTCCTCCTCCTCCTCCTCCTGTTCCTCCTCCTCCTCCTCCTCCTCCTCCTCTTCTTCCTCCTCCTTATTTTCCTTATCCTCCTCCTCCTCCTCCTCCTCCTACTTGATTTCAGGGTCATATCAGTGATGGTGTTTATGGCCTTCTCTTTTGGCTCTATGCTTAGGGATCATTTATGGCAGTGCTCAGGGGAACCAACCATATACAGAGTCAGAGATCAGATGGCAGTTGTCTACATGCAATGTAAGAGCTTTAGGCCCTCTACTATCTCTCCAACCCCAGGGTAATCATTGTTTATACCCTCGACTTGACTCTTTAGACCACTATTTAAATTTATCTACTAAATTGATGAACTTTCTGCTCCTGTACTGTGAAGGGGATTTTAACCTAGTGTTGTTTTCCTGCAATTGTTCCTTATCCTATGATTGTTAATTTTTGAGCTAGTTTAAGAGGTTAGGAGAAATAGGAGAAAAAGATGTGGTATAAGTTGGTGGGGAAGATAAAACTGGATAGTTGTGGGTGTAAGAAAGATGTGTTTCTGGGACTAGAGACAAAGCACAGTGGATAGGGGGCTTGCCTTGTGTACAGCTGACCCAACTTCGATTCCCAGCACCTCATATCGTCCCCTGAGCCCACCATGAGTGATCCCTAAGCACAGAGCCAGGAGTAACCGCTGAGTATCATTGGGTATAGTCCAAAAAAAAAAATAAGAAAAAAAAAGTATTTCTGATGGTTTGAATGGAAGTGAGCTAGAACGTGGCTTCTTAAACTTTTACTATTCACTACCCCTTTCACCTGCAATTTTTTTTTATCTGACCTTGTTTATTTGTATAGAGATTTAATATCTACTAATAAGTGATAAACTTATTTTTGAAGCAAAATTTTACAAAGTTATGTGACCAACAGTTCAAGAAGCTAAAACTTTGAAAAGGATAATATTTTGAGTGAAGAAGCTGACTCTTTTACCTTCTAATTTTTTGAGCTCCTCTTGTGTTGTTTTTTTGTCATGTTAAAAATTTCCTGTAACATCAGTTGCTGTTCTAAGATGTTTTGTTCAAAGTGTACATACAAATTAGTATTATAAGACTAAATTTGTCTGGTGAGTTGGGTTTTTTTTTCAACTTTTAGACCCCCACCTAGCAGTTTTCAGGTCTTACTCCTGGCTCTGTTCTCAGGAATCATTCCTGGTGGGCTTAGGAGACATCCTGAGGTGCCAGGGATTGAACCTAGCTTGGCTCTGTGCAAGGCAATTCTCTACCTGCTACACATTATCTTTTCAGTCCATAAGTAGGCATTCTTAATAAGAAGAGACTGCAGTTTAGACTTGGTAACTCATGAAAAACCTGAAACCAATTATTAAGCACCAGCAGGAGTGACCTCTGAGTATAGAAGCAGTACTAAGCCCTGAGTACAGCAAGATGTAATTCCCCCACCCAACACCCCAAAATTAAAGAAATCACCTATTTAAAGAAAATCATTGTCCCTTTCCTTTTTGATATGCATTTTACATTTAACTGGTGGCATGCGTTGCAGAATAGTACAATTTCCGTAAATTTGCTTTTGACTGGTCATATACTGAACTGAGTTTTGGTGACCTGTTTTGTGTGTGGCATGTCAAATTTAGGATTGGAATATATTGAAGATGGGATGGAATGATGGTTTGGTGAGTTACTGATAGGTATTTTTTGTTTTTTTGGTTATGGGGAGGATGTTTGGGCTACACCCAGTTGTGTTCAGGGCTGAATCTTGGCTCTGGGCTCAGGGATAGATGCTGGCAGTGCTCAGGGGACCATATTTGGTACCAGGGATTAGATCGGGATTGGCTGACTGCTAGGCAAGTGCTTTGATCCCTATCTTGTCACTGTTCCTGTCAGATTTTTACCTGCTGAAGTAGCACAATTATTTTCGAAATTTTGAAAATCGTCTAAAGGTACTCATGGAGATTGAGAAGTCTTAAAGAAGATCAAGTAATCTAAGCAAAAGTTGAAGAAAACATGAATTTGTGGTATAGCAGCAAAAGTTTGGATACGTGGATAAATTCAGAAGTAATATATTTAAAGTACTAGATTGAGAAGAACTGACCTTTCAAATGGGGTTATGGGTATGAATTTAACTCAATTAAATGATAAATGTTATTCATTGAGATAAGTAACACAGCGTAGTAGGATAAAAATAGAAAGAAAATTGGCTAGATAATGATTTAGATTTGACAGATTTGATCATAGAAAGTTTCAGATGCAGATTTCTAGAAGACAATTTTTATATTATGATCTGAATCACTAAATCTTGGTATGGATGTGGGAGAGGGGTCCCAAAACTATGTCCCAGTATGATTATTGTATGTACTCATAGGATGCAGTGTGTAGTTATACACCCAGCTGTGACTTTTTAAATTTCACAATTTTTTGTCTGTTTGGACCATACCTGGCTGTGTTCCTGCCTGTCTTGGAGGACCATATTGGGTTCCAAGGAATCAAACCTGGATTGTGTATGTGCAAGGCATGCATCTTAATTGCTGTGCTATCTCTCTGGTCCCTGATTTTTCTTAATTTTTATTAGTGAAACATCATGAAGTACCAAGGATTTTTCTTTTAATTTTTATTAGTGAAACACCATGAGGTACAGTTGTAGACTTATAAATTTTTGTGCTTGGGTTTCGATTATACAATGATCAAGTACCCATCCCTACACCAGTGCCCATTCTCCACCACCATGGATCCCAGTATCTCTCCCACCCTTCATCCCCCCCATCCCACCCTGCCTCTGTGGCAGGGCATTCCCTTTTGTTCTCTCTCTCCTTTTGGGTGTTGTGGTCCGCAGAAGAGTTATTGAGTGGCAGTCATGTTCGGTCTATAGTCCACTTTCAACATGCATCTCCCATCCTGGGAGGATCCTCCAAACACTCTTTACCTGGTGCTCCCTTCTCTATCTGAGCTGCCTCCTCCCCCACCATGCCCGGCTGGCCTCTAAGCCATGGAGTAATCCTCCTGGTACTTAACTCGGCTATTCTTGGGTATCAAACAGAAAAAGGATACATAGCAAAATCAGCATAGAAACATTCATTGAGTGAAGTTTGAAGGAAACCAAACAAGTTTCCAAGAATATTTTTCCTAGTGAAGTTACACAGCATTCCTATTCTTCCAGAATCAACTTGGGATAGCATGTGTAAGATGCCATTATTGAAGGAATTTCCAGATTCCCAGAGAGTAAGCAAATACTAAACATGTCATGTTTTTGTAACATTTAAAAGAGTGACGTCTCCCTATCTGTTCTTATAATGTTCTTTCCACCAGCCTTGATTTATAATCTGAAATACTTGATTTTTATAATCTGAAATACTCGATTTCCAGGAACTATTTATTTCCAGCCAGGCTTTTTCAAAGATAGAAGTCCTGTCACTGTGCTTCTGTTAAGGGTGAATGAGGTCCAGCTCAATGGGCTGGAGTACATGCTTTGCATGCCAGAGGCCTGGGTTCTATCCCTGGCACCTCATTGTTTATCAAACACCTCCAGGAATGACCCTTAAGAACCATGCCAGAGCTTGCTCCTGAGCATCACCAAACAGAAGAATGAGACAGAAGTCTCTGATTTTCTGGATCTAGGAATTATGAAATTAACCTCTTACATCATAAAAACTCCCCTGCCTCCAGTCCTCCATCTAAAGCCCAGTCCTGCCTCCTGGACACTTATTTTTTTCTTTAAAATATTTTGATGTAGAAAAAAAAGCAACAGGGGCCAAAGTGATAGCACAGTGGGTAGGGTGTTTGCCTTGCACACGACCGACTGGGTTCTATCCCCAGCATCCCATGTGGTCCAGCCTAGCACTGCTAGGAATAATTCCTGAGTGCAGAGCCAGGAGTAACCTCTGAGCATCGCAGGGTGTGACATCCCCCCCCCCAAAAAAAATTTAAAAAAATAAAAAAAAGCGCCAACTGCTGACACAATTCCAGGATTAAAATGAATTAGATAACAAAGTTACAATATTAAAATCAATAGATCTAGAAAATAAATTTATGTGAGCATTGCTGTATTTGATTGCAAGATTGGTAACTACTTTTCTAAGATTAAGCTTTTTTTTGGCAGATATGGGAGGTGGGTAGGTCTGCTGGGCTTCCAGAAGTCTTTGGAGTCAGGGAAAAGCTACCCACCCCCATGCCAGAAAAAAGCACTGGAATTCTCAGTCAAGGTGCTCATTCCTGAAATCATTCAGAGATTGGTGTGTCTGCAGAGACTGCAGAGAATATTTGTGGGGTGGTGGAATTGAGCCCTTGGCATAGCTTTAATGGTGGGGATGGTGCTATTGTCAGAGCTTGGTTTGGCGGGCATTTGGCCTGCCTGCCTTGTACATTTCTTTATTTTCTGTAACTATGCTCTCTCTGTCGTGATTAGTCAGTCAAATGCATCTTCTCTCCTGGCATTCTCCTATAACAATTTAAGCATAATATTTCCAATCTTAAAAGGAGTTCACTTTTGATTCCAAGACTTCTTTACCAGCTGTGTCTCTATTTAGAATATTTTTCTTCATTGACAGTATTCCTTTAAACAGAAGTTATAAGTAGCCGGCTTTTCTCCCCACCTCAGTTTTTAGAAATTTTGGAAATTGGAATTTCCATTTCTATTCCTTTCATTTCCTGAAACAAATCTCTTCCAGGTTATCAGCACGTTTCTTAGTATCAAATACAGTGATTATCTAGTCTTTTCTCTCTTTCATTGAACACTAGAAGGAAATGGCACCTAAGTTAAGTGCTGAAGCAAGAGGAGAATTAAAATCTCAGCTTTTGGAGAATGACAGGAGAGTCATAAGAACAAGTACAGAAGTGAAGATCATTTTATGAAATGTAAAATACATTGGTGTTGGAACATTTTTGCCTAAAACTCAACCATGAATAACTTCATAATTCATAGTGACTTACTTAAGAGTTATCATGCATCACTAAACTTTAACCCAAGATGCTGACAAATATTTACATTTTCCCAGTATATCTTTTTTTGCCTTATGAAGTTTTTCTAATAGATAAATTTATAGGCTAAAATTTTATGTAATTAATAAGTTATTGTTTTATTAGATAACTGCAGCTGTTCAGCAGTGTGTTCAGTACTTTGAGTTATGTGAAACCATGAAGACTGATGAGATTTTGGGACCTTCAAGGCATTGTGGTAAGATTTTATATTACAAATATGTAATGGTGATTACATTAATAAAATAGCTTATTTATTGTTTTGTTTTTTTCACCCTGCTATGCCTAGGGCTTACTTCTGACTCTGTGTCCAGGGATCACTCCTGGCAATGCTTGGAGGACATATTGGGTATCAGGGATTGAATCTAATTTGATCTCATGTGATGAAAGCACGCTGCCACTATTCTATCTCTCTGACCCTGCTTATTTATTTTATTTCTTTTCTCTTATTATCACTCACTCCATTTCCCTCCTATTCCCTCCTCTCAGCACTTCTCCCTTCCCTTCCTCTCTGGTGCCTTTGTTCTCTGGGGTCAGTCCTGGCAGTGCTCAAGAGACCAGGTGGTACTAGGGATCAAACTGGAGCAACTGCATGCATGTCAAGTGCATTAACTCCCTGGACTAGTTCTCCAACCCCTAAAAATAGTTTATATTATTATTATTATTTTATTATAATTGCTATTATTGCAATTTTTTTTGGACCACACTGAGACAAACAGAATGTGCCTCCAAATTGTACTTAAGGCCACTCCCCCCACCTATGCCTTGTTTTGGGATCATTAGATTGGGAGCTTTAAGGGGACAGTAACCTGAGATGCAATTGGGGGTCACACTCCTTCAGTTATTTGTTTATCCATAGTTATGGTTTTGTTGTACACTGTTGCCTCCCTTAGCACCAACCATGTGCTCAGGACCCTCCACTTATGTTCTCATGTTACTTCCAGTCAATCTATTCATTTCCCATATATCTCCTTTACTACCCCCTCTCCCTCAGCCTGACTCAGGTTTGTATTTGAATTTAAGACTTTTTTTTTTTTTGCTTTTTGGGTCACACTTGGTGATGTGATGCACAGGGGTTACTCCTGGCTCTGTACTCAGGCGTTACTCCTGGCTGTGCTCAGATGACTACATGGGATACTGGGAATCAAACCCAGGTCGGCTGCATGCAAGGCAGATGCCCTACCTGCTGTGCTATCTCTTCAGCCCCAGGATTTAAGACTTTTTATTCTGCATTTTTACTGCTCTTTTCCTTTCATCATACAGCTTGCCATTGTTATTTTATGTCACTTCCCTTAAGCAAATAATAAGTACTTTGAGCAGAAAGATATGATTTTCTTCACCTCTGGGAAAATTCTTTATCTAATTCAAGCAAGAAAATGGTCAAAGATCAGTAATTACTGGCTTTCAGAAACTAGGGTTTTGTAGTAAAAGGAGTTAGAAACCAGAATTTACTCTTTAAGTGAAAGGATACATAAGTTTATGTTATATCACTACATGAATTTGTCTGATTTCTTGATTTTAAAATATCTCTAGGTTGATTTTTTTTCCCCTCTCCTCTACTTCGCCTAATAGCCTTTCCTGGCTTGGTTTTCTTTTTTTCCCTGTGTAGAGAAGATTTCAGGGCACTAACTGCATTCTTTTGCCATTTCTTTTATAACTCTGCTCTTTTCTCTTTCAGATATTCTGGCCTGCAGTTCCTAAGCTTTAGATCATACTTAATCTTCTTTGGTCCACAGAACATTGAGCAAAGAACATTTGTTATGTAAATTAACTGCACATGTGTATATTTCTCTAGCTTCAGCTGTTCTTTTATATGCCTTTAGAATCCTCTAAGATATTTTTCCTGTAATGATCTGTAATAGTTTACTGCAAGCCTTCATTAGATTCACTAACTGCCTGCCTTGCCACTTTTTCTCAGGAAACCTTGTATTCATACTTCACTTAGAAAAATGAGATATCCCAAATGTTCTTTGTCTGTGCATACAAGTGCATACTTATATGCCCTTATCAAAAATCCCCTTACTGTAAACTACAATGCAAGTGAGCCCAAATTGCATATCAGGATATTACTGTCCCCTTAACCTCCCACCCCACCCCAGTGTAATGATCCCGAAGCAAGTCAGAGGTTGGGGAGTAGCCTTGGGTTCAATTTGGAGGCACATTCTATTTGTTTCTAAAAGTAGCAAATTACCAGGAGCATATTGATTTTTTTTCCTGGAAAGGGTGCAGGTGGTAAGTCAAATAAGTTTGGGGATGTCTGAGATTTTAATTTTATTTGCTAACATAGTTATAAGCAGGGTTATGTTCTGTGGTGACTTTTAATTAGTAGAATTTGATAATACCCGCTGTGATAGTACTAATTTGATAGTACTAATATTTTATTTGAATTTCTCTGTGCCTTGAGTTGAAATGTCTTGATGTCTATTTCACACAATCTTTTGGTATTTGCTTTATAATGAAGAGTGTATGTATATTAATCATTCTCCTCAGTTTCAGAAATTTCAGAAATTTTGTAATACATCTTTTTTTTCAGATTTAGATGTCAGAGAATTTTAGGAAACAGTAAGAAAAATGCATATTTTAAATATACTAATAATTTCTCTTCATTGTAGATTTGTAGCCTTGTTAAGTGTTCAGAAGATACTGAAGACAGGTATTATAAAATATAATGACATAAAAATAAATGTTATTGTTTTCTTCTCTTTTAAGGGAACAAGCAGAAAGGTTTATACTACACAGGACAAGAACTACAATATATATATTTCATTCACTCGCTGTGCTTTTTAGGAAGATTACTGATCTATACTCAGGGTAGGAAGCTATTTCCTATAAAGCTGAAAAATAGAAAAGGTAAGTGTATTTAGGTGATTTGAAATATTCAGATATGGGGTTTATATTATGGATGTTACAATTTGGAGATTTTGCCTGATTTCTCCTAGGTACTTAGTGACATACAATTTTAGTTTATAGGCGATTTGGTCACCTTTCTAAGTGGTTTTCAGTATGTACTTTTTTCATACTGAAGCAAACTTGTTTTTCGTTTTGTACTTTGTTTATTCTCTTAAATTTTAAGTTTCTATTAGATATATAGTACAGAGATCAGTAAACTTCTGTAAAGTACCACGTAGTCATTATTTCAGCTTTTGTGAATCACATGCTATTATGTTGTTTATTTGATATGTGTATACATACCAGCTTACATGGATGAAAAATTATTATCTCATGTCTAAAACTGCTAGTTGTTGAAAGACCTGCTCTTGGAGCTGTATATTGATTAAATCTGGGAATTTGAATTTCTCATTTTCCCTACAATTTGTAAGACTTTCCTTTTATCTCTATTCTTCGTACACATCATGTGGTTTAAGCTGTAGACCTGTTTCCCTTCTGGATGTCTGGAATCCTAGCCTCTGCTCAGTGATTTTTTTATTTTCAATTCCCACTGAACGCCTCGAGCACTGGCTCTCTTATGAGCTGCATTGGTAAACCACATTTCATGCCTGTTGTTACAACCTGTTGCTTTAAAACTCAACTATGAGGTGACCCTTGGACACTTACACTTGGTTTCCTCTGGATTTAACCTTTGACATGCTTTGTAGCCTTTAATTTATATATATATATTTTATTGAATCACCGTGTGATAGTTACAAAGCTTTCATGATTGAGTTTCAGTCATAAAGTGATCGAACACCCAGCCGTCCACCAGTGTACATTTTCCATCACCAATGTCCCTAGTATCCCTCTCACCACCCCCACTCTGATCCCACCTCTGCCTCTATGGTAGACAACTTTCTTCTTTATCTCTCTCTACTTTTGGTCATTATGGTTTGCAATACAGATACTGAGAGGCCAGCATGTTTGGTCCTTTACTTACTTTCAGCACACATCTCCCACTCTGAATGATCCCTCCAACCATCATTGACTTAGTGATCCTTTCTCTATCCCAGCTGCCTTCTCCCCCAGCTCACAAGGTAGTCTTTGACCTTGGAATAGTCTTCCTGTTCCTTTTCTCTGCTTTGCAGCCTTTTGTTGTGTATTAGACATCATAACTGATTGTAGGTTGTGTCTTGTGAGTCTTCCTTGAGAATCGTTGCATTTGGTCTTAGAGACCTGTGACACATTGTACACATCTTTAAAAAAGAAAGAAAAGTTATTCTCTGCTTGTGAGACTTACACAGTTATGCCTGATACATTATATATACATATATATAATATTATTATTAGGATTATTATTTGGTAGCTGTTTTGAAGTTGTTCTACTGTCCTAAATCTTTTCCTCCTCCTCCTCCTCCTCCTCCTCCTTATCTATATGTTATCCTTAATTTATTTAGCAGTTAATATTGACAGTCAACATCTACTTTGGGTCTATCAAATATTCGTCATTTGAAGACTCATATTTATTTATTTATTTATTTATTTATTTTTTACTGAATCACAGTGAGATACAATTACGAAGTTGTTTATGATTGGATTTCAGTCATACAGTGTTCCAACACCCATACCTTCATCACTGTCTATTTTCCACCAGCAGTGTCCCCAGTTTCCCTCCCCTGACCTCTGTCTGACTGTATGCCAGGCACTTTTTTCCTCTCTCTCTCTCTGTATCTCTCTCTCTCTCTGTACCTCTCTCTCTCTCTCCTCTCCCCTTTTGGGTATTATGGTTTGCAATACAGGTACTGAATGTTTACATCTGTAATCCCTTTTAACTACTTTCAGCATTCAGTTCTTGTCCAGAGTGATTATTTCCAACTTGCAGACTCAGTTTAAAAAAATCTGTTATACATTATTAGGGTATAACATTTATTGAAGTAAACATTTATCTTTTGTGTTTTGTGTGTACATTTAATATTCTTTTTTTATTTTTACATGTTATTTATTTTTAATTTTTTATTATTGAATCACCGTGAGAACAGCCACAAAGATTTTCAGTTTAAGTCTCAGTCAGTCATATAATGCTCAAACACCCATCCCTTCACCAGTGCACATTTTCCACCACCAAGAAACCCAGTACACCTCCCCTCCTACCCTCCCCTTGCCTGTGTGGCAGATTTCCACTTTACTCTCTATGTTGATCACATTCAGTATTATGACAGAAGACCCACTATTATTTTATTTGGAATTTTCCCCAACAATCAGACCTACCAAAAAGACATCATTAGATAATTTGTTTTCTGTTGCTGATTATGAAGAGCATATGATGTTGCACGGGAGCTATTGTGGCCACGTGATTTTGGATTTCTGATATTTTAGTAATAAGTCTGAGGGATTACTGCCAAAAGCCACTGGGTTCTGAGATTGGTTTGCGTGCCTCCGGGATCATGGTTGTTTAGTAGCTGGAGAAGACATTCGTGGGCGGCAGCTCAGTGCCTTGTCAGGGCGGGGAGCAGAGCTGATTCCACCCCCTATCCCATGAGGCCCCACGTGCCTTGTCACTGCAGTCTCATACCTGGCTGTCCTTTAGGCTCTGAAAGATGGTGGCCACCATGCCGCCGCCACCAGAGGGAAAAGGTCGAGGGACAAACACCCTTCCCCTCCTGGGGTGGCATGGTACCGTAGTTTAATGCACAGTCCAGATGCATTTCTGCCAAAAGCTGGTGGTATCTGAGATTGGTTTATGTGCCTCTGGGATCATGGCTATTCAGGAGCCAGCAGAGGTGTTCATGGGTGGCAACTCGGAGCCTTGTCAGGGCGGGGAGAAGGGCAGGTTCCAACCCTCATTCCATGAGGTCCCATGTGTGTCGTCACTGCAGTCTCATACCTGGCTGTCCATTAGACTCTGAAAGATGGCAGCCACCATGCCACTGTTGCCAGGGGGGAAAGGTGGAGGGACAAACACCCTTCCCTTCCCGGGGTGGCATGGCACCATAGTTTAAGGCACAGTCCAGATATATTTCTGTTGGGCATTATATTTTGCTTGAATTTTTCCACCAACATTCAAGCCTGCCTTCTAGGGACAGATGCTAGATCATTCACTTTTCATTGCTCACTTTGTGTATCAAATAAGGTTGTGTGGCCTGGTCGCTGGTTCAGAAGAATAGTCCTGGTGCCCACATACTGGAGCCATGCTTGTAGAAGCTCATAGTCACTGGGATTCCATCAGGAGAAGGCAGGGAGACAGCACCTGTCCATCAGGCACCTCCCACCGATATTGGCTCAGTATGGGGACTGGAGAATTCTCTAGGTGTTGTGGCGCCCGCCAGCCAGGTTTCTTCACTACTGTGCGTGGAAAGATGGCACCGGAGGTGGGTTGAGGTCGTGACTTCCAGGATTAGGGACTGACTGGGAGCCGGGCTGCAACTGCCCGGCCCAGTGCCCCCATGTGGTTCGGAAGAATAGTCCTGGTGCTGACATACTGGACTCATGCTTGTAGAAGCTCATGGTCGCCAGGATTCCATCTGGAGAAGGTGAGGAGACTGCATCTGCCCCATCTGGCACCTCCCAGTGATATTGGCTCAGTATGGGGCCCAGATAATTCTCCTGGTGTTGTGGTACCTGCTGGCCAGTTTTCTTCACTGCTGTGTCATGTATACTATTCTTTATGTGGTCTTATCTTGAGCTGGAATCTACAGCTACAGAGCATGAATCAAATCAGAACCAAATCTGTCATACTGTGTTATATAATTTAGGAGCTAAGAAGGGTTTATATGAATGTATTTATTTTAACCACTGTTAAAATGAATTTTTTAATTAATTTCCTATTGGTATATACTACCATATACGTTTTAGTAATACAATTTAACACCTTGATATGTGTATACAACATATTTTACCCACTACTGTAGATCAAATTTATCTTCTATTCTTATTCCTTGTACTTCTCTTCCTTCTGTAAGCACCATATTTTTCTGAGACTGAGTTATTTTTGTTGAATTCTATTAGTCTTTGCTTATAACTTTATTTTATTTTTTATATATTTTCATTTATATTTTTTATAAGTGAACCTATCTGGCATTTGTCTTTCGCTTTCTGACTTATTTTACTTGGCACAGTCACCTCAAGTTTTATCTGTGTTGTAAAAAGATTTTTATTTTTAAGAGCTGAGTAGTTTTCCATCAGATATAACACAACTTTTTTTTTTTTCAGTCCAGTCATTTTTCAGTGGGCATTTAGACTATTTCCAGGTTGTGGTTCTTATCAATAGTACACCTATTAACATATGGCTTTTCAAAGTATTGTTTTCATATTCTTTGCCACTGGATCATATGATGTTTTTTAGTTGTACTTTTTTTGGGGGGGAGGAGTACACACCTGGTGTTTTTCCAGGCTTATTCCTGGCTCTGCATTCAGGGATCACTCCTGGTGGTGCCCAGGAGACCTTATGAGGGGCCCTGAATTGAAGTTGGATCAGCAGTATGCAAAGCAAGTGCTCTGTCTGCTACACTATCTCTCCAGCCCCTCTAGTTTTATTTTTTTTAAATCCTCATAATGTTTTCCATACTGTGTCAATTTACATTAACAATGTAAATTCCATTGTCAATATATAAGAATTCCAAGAAGTGTATCTCTGTTTTTTTAACTAATGGAAAGAATCAAATGCATGTTTTGTGACATGAAAAATATATAGTTTAAAGTTTGATGTACATAAATAGTCTTATATTTACATTCATTGCACTATTATTACACTGTTGTGGTTTACATAATCATCTGAATTCAGCCATACTTGTTCATTTGCATATTATCTCTGAGCACTTTGTGCCATAATGGCAGAGTACCTATAATACAGACTGTTAGTACCTATGATACAGACTGTTAGGCTTCAAAGTCTACACTCTGATCTGAAAATGTTTGCCAGTCCTGTTCTATATATATATATATATATATATATAACAGTTTAAAAGTTAGTTTGATCAGTATACTAAACTGAATTTTATAATTTTTAATGGAATAAATTTTAAGTAGCTGATCAGATTCAGAGATATTTCTGTGGTAGATTCATTTTAAGTAATCGATTCAACAAAATTAGTAAAATTGTACCTTGACATATCATCTACTTTTTTCCTGTTGCTTACTCACAATATCTAAGTATATGTGTTTATTTATTTTTGTGTTTCTTGATTTATAACTGATTTATAACTGCTTTTCCCTAATGATACTGCAGTTTATATAATAGTTCAATATAGGTGGAAAGGATTATAGTTGAATACTTCTAACCTGTAAACTTATGCTAGAAAAGACTAATTGTTTTCTTTTTTCTTTTTGAAGATTCAGTATCCCTTACAGATCTGTTGGTTTTGTTTACCCGACTTATCTATTACTCACCAAGTTGTCCAAAGGTTACACCAGGTAATTCTGATTCTATTTTGAATATAGAAACACAAAACATATGAAAATATTTAAATATTATATTTTTTTAGGAAGTACATTATTTTATTTTTCCAAAAGTGATTAAACAAAGTATTTTAGATTATTTAATGTTTATATTATGCTTATTCACTCTTAAATTATTTTTATGGCAACTTTATATGTTGCCACCCAAGCACAAAAATTTGTAAGTCTAAATATTCTATTGTTTAGATGTTTTGAGTGACTGACCTACTTTAATAAAGAGGATTCAAAAGATATCTTGGAACTAATTCATGAAATTTAATTTTGTTCATCGCTATTTTAAGATGTTCTTTGATTTTTGTAATTTAGAGTCAATTTGCGATAATGTCATTCTTGAAGATCAAGATGCTCTTAAGAAATGACATTGTAAGGAAATTTTGATAGATTTGATGCTAATGTGTTCTTTCTTGATTTTAGATTTTCCTGGGTATTTTGATCAAGTGAAACCCAAAATCATAGAGCTTTTTTTTTAATTGTAAGTTAAGGATGAAAAGAACATAAAATGCCCTTTATTTCTTAGCTGTTAATGGATTCTTTAAAAATGTTTTAAGACACTAACATTGAAAAGATAGCATGTGCCTTCCTTTTAACACTGAAAATTTCTAAGGCAAAACTGCAAGAAAACACCATAATTTATATACCTGCAAATGATGGAGCTTACTTTAGAAATGGATTGGAGTGATAATAGAGCAGGTAGGATGTGTTTGCCTTGCACATGGCTGACCCTGATTCGATTCCTCTGTCCCTCTCAGAGAGCCTGGCAAGCAACCGAGAGTATCCTGCCTGCAGGGCAGAGCCTGGCAAGCTCCCTGTGGTGTATTCCATATGCTAAAATCAGTAACAACAAGTCTTATAGTGGAGGCGTTACTGGTGCCCGCTCCAGCAAATCCATGAGCAATGGGAGGACAGTGCTACTGTGCTACAGTGCTACTTTAGAAATGTTCACAAAAATTTTGAGAGAACTGAAGTGAATCACAGAAAAAGATATTTTGGGTCATAATTTAGTCATATAATAGTCTATCTGTTAATGGATACATTTTATCTATTTAATTAGAATAGTCTATTAGCTCTAACAACAGCTTTTAGACTTCTTTCTGCCCCTTTTAGCACTTTGTTAGGTTAGTTTCCCCTCATATGTATGTATATCTGCAACATTCTGTTTAATTTAAAAAAATGTTTCTTATTCTAATTACTTGTTAATGTGTTGGTTTGCTATCAAGTAGACCTTTTTTTCTGGTCTTTTTTCTGGTCTTTCTGGTCTCTCTGTGTATTACTCTATAATTCATAGTAGGCATTCAAAGTTAGTAGATGGGGCTGGAGAGATGGAACCGTGATAGGATACTTGTCCTACAAACAACCAACTCACATGGTCCCTCATGAGAAATGATCTCTGGGCGCAGTGCTAGAAAAAAGTAAGCCCTGTGTACTGTTGAGTATGGCCCCCAAAGAAAAACAAACAAAACTCCTCAGATTGGTAGGTAAATGGATGAATGGCTATAGACTCATTAATAATACATCTCATTGTACATAGTGTTTCTCTTTGGGACCTATTTAAAAATGTTACTGAATATTTCCATTTTGTAGGGTATTGAGTTGAAGTCTTACTTATTCATGGTGTATAGAGTATTATAGCAAATTAAGAACTTGATGTACTTTTAATATGCTAGAACATTCTACTCTGAGGATTTATGATTCCTTAGTTTGTCTATGTGATACACAATTAACATTATTTTGATTAAATTTGGGAGTGATTCGGTAGGTTAAATAATATGAAAACACATTTATTTATGAAATTAAAAATTCCCCTTCCAGTGACAATTTCCCTACATTATATTTGCCCATATTTGTGTTTTCCTATATTTATTTTAACCATTGCACTGGATTTTTGGTGACATGGTCCTTATAACGTTTCTCCTATCTTCTTTCCTTCTTTTTAGTTTCATGATTTTTTTTTTTTTTTGCTCTTTGCTCTTTGGTTCACACCTGGCAATGCACAGGGGATACTCCTGGCTCATGCACTCAGGAATTACTCCTGGCGGTGCTTGGGGGACCATATGGGATGCTGGGAATTGAACCAGGGTCGTCTACATGCAAGGCAAACGCCTTACCCACTGTGCTATCTATCCATCCCCTTTTTTTTCTAATGATTCTAGTTTTCTACTATGCTCAACATCTACCTTTTTTTTGAGTAAAAGTGTATTTGTGAGGAGAAAAGTTCTGAATTTGTTTCAAACCACTGTATTACTATTAGCAAACAACGATTAATGTGAATACCATATGTTTTTTAGTATTTATATTTGTCATTTACTCATTTTTGATTTGGATATAAGAATAATATATATTAAATTAATTGCTATGCTGTCAAGTTTCAGAATTTGGTTATACATCATCCTTGGACATTGAGTTATGTGATTTTTAATTATCCTTAATTTTGAACTTTTTGAAATAACAGTAATGAACACATAACATAAAAGTGTTTGTTGTTTACATTTTTGAAAATGATTCTTCTTTGTCAGAAAATTATTCTCCTGCAAGTATGGTGACTGAAGTTCTGCGTATACTTTGTGATCATAAAGAATGTGCAGTTGAATGCTTATATAACAGCACTGTCATTGACGCACTTCTCCAGCCTATTAGTAATTTAATGAAAGGAACTAAGGTTGGTATTTATTAAAGAGAATCTATTAGCTGGGTATTAGTGAATATTCAGTAGGACATTATTTCTAAATTTGTGGTACTTAAGGTATTTTTGCTATGCTGTCATTCATAATAAATTATGTGATGATATAGGTTTTAATTCATTTTTAAATCATAGTTTATGGAGCCAGTTGATTTACTAGTTATGGTAGCCAGGGAGAGTACATTAAAAAATCATAATTTTTTTCCCTAGGTGTTGATGTTTTGATTTTAAGATTGGTGAGGTTATTTTCTTAAGGTATGCATCTTAAAAATATAGTAACTTTTGTTAATGCTTATTCATATTAATGATATTTTTGTAGCCTCTGGACAAACAGGATTCATGAACCAACCCTGTCTTAATTGATGAACTAGTGTAGCTGAAGAAAAACTATTATAATATTACATTTTTGTATATATATGTATGTTACATATATACATATATACATACATATATGTACATATATATCAGTTTACATTTTGTGTGGTATACTTTATCATGTACTTTAATCTTCAGTTACTACTTGATAACTAGTCTTTTAAATCACAAAAACATTTACTTACGGGAGGCTACTATGTTACCTTAGTTCTCTAACTTCCCAGTGCTTTTTTCTCTAAGGAATTACTTTATGATCCTTTTACCACATTCCTTATGGAGAGCTGCTTTGTTTGCTGTTGCCTGTCATTTTCTAAATATGCAATGAGAAAACATTTTTTGACTTTTTTCTCCCCTAACCACCTTTTGGAATGGTTTCCTTGGATTTCTTAAATTGACATTTCCTCTTCCCTTTCTAACCATTCTTTTTTCATCACCCTTCCATGTTCCTATTGTCTATTGTCTCAAGATCTGGTTCACTGTCCCTCCCTCCCTCCCTCCCTCCCTCCCTCCCTCCCTTCCTTCCTTCCTTCCTTCCTTCCTTCCTTCCTTCCTTCCTTCTTTCCTTCCTAGAACCACTGTAAGATACAGTTAATGATCGAGTACCCATCCCTCCACCAGTGCACATTCTTTACCACCAGTGTTCCCAGTCTCCTTCCCACCACTCCTCTTCATCCCCCCCCCTCCCTGTCCCTACCTCTGTGGCAGGCACATTCCCTTTTAGTCTCTTCTTTTGGGTGTTATATCTGCAGTACAGGTACTAAGTGGCCACAGCATGTTTGGTCTTTAGTCTACTTTCAGCATGCATCTCCCATCCCAAAGGTGCCCTCCGAGCATCATTTAATTAGTGGTTCCTTCTCTATCCCAGCTGCTTTTACCCCCAGCATGTGAGGTCAGCTTCCAGACCATGGAGCCTATCTGGACCTATCTCTATTATCCTTGGGTGTTAGTCTCCCTTTACATTCTTTACTTTATATTCCACAAATAAGTGCAGTCATTTTATGTCTGTCCCCCTTTCTCTGACTCATTTCACTTTGCACAATACTTTCCATGTTGATTTACTTATATGCAAATTTCATGATTTCATCTTTTATAATAGCTCAATAGTATTTCGTTGTTTAAATGTATGAAAATTTCTTTAATCAGTCATCTGTTCTCAGGCACTCGGGTTTTTTCCAGATTCTGGCTATTGTAAATACTCCTGCAATAAAGATACAAGTGAAGATGTCATTTCTACTATATTTTTTGCATCTCCAGAATATATTCCCAGAAGTGGTATTGTTGGGTCAAATGAGAGCTCAATTTCTAGTTTTTTGAAAAATATCCATCTTGTTTTCCAAAAAGGCTAAACCATTCAGCATTCCCACCAGCAGTGAAAGAGAGTCCCCTTCTTTCCACATCTACGCTAATACCTGTTGCTTTTGTTCTTTTGGATGTGTGCCAGTCTCTATGGTGTGAGATTATATCTCATTGTTGTTTTGATCTGCATCTCCCTGATGATTAGTGATGAAGAGTATTTTTTCATGTGCCTTTTGGCCATTAGAATTTCTTCTTTGAGTAGGTTTCTGTTCATTTCATTGCCCCATTTTCTAATGGGCTTGGATGTTTTCTTCTTGTAGAGTTCAACCAGTGCCTTGTACATCCTTGATATTTTAACCCCTTATCAGAAGGGTATTGGGTAAATATCCTTTCCCATTCTGTAGAATGTCTTTATATTCTGGTCACTATTTCTTTTGAGGTGCCGAAGCTTCTTAGTTTAAGATAGTCCCATTTGTATATCTCTGTTTCCACTTGGCCAGTGGTGTTTTTTCTTTGAAGATACCTTTAGCTTCAATGTCATGGAGGCTTTTTCTGACCCTTTTCTTTAATGTACCTTATGGATTATGATCTGATACTAAGGTATTCATGCCATTTTGATCCGACTTTTGTGCATGGTATTAAGTAGAGATTGAGCCCATTTTTTTTTGCATGTACCTGTTTAGTTTTGCCAGTACCATTTGTTAAAGAGGCTTTCCTTGCTCCACTTTATATTTCTTGCTCCCTTATCAAAGATTAGAGGATTATATATTTGAGTGTGTGTGTGTAAGGATATTCAATCCTTTTCCATTGGTCTGTGGATCTGTCTTTGTCCCAATATCATGCCGTTTTAATTATTACTGCTTTGTAGTACAGTTTGGGGTTGGGAAAGGTGTTTTTCCCCCCAAAATTGCTTAGCTATTTGTGGGGGCTTGTTGTTCCACATGAATTTCAGGAGTGTTTGATCAAGTTTTTTGAAGAATGTCATGGGTACCCTTATAGGGATTGCATTGAATCTATATGATGCTTTGGGGAGTATTGCCATTTTGAAAATATTAATTCTCCCAATCCATGAGCAGGGGACCTGCTCCACTTCCTTGTGTCCTCTTTTATTTCTTGAAGTAGCATTTGTAGTTTTCTTTGTACAGGTCCTTTACTTCCTTACTTAAGCTATTGATTCTGAAGTATTTTATTTTCTGAAGCATGATTGTGAACAGAATTGCTTTTTACATACCACTTTCTTCTTATTACTTGCATACAGGAAAGCCATGAACTTTTGGGCATTGATTTTATAGCCTGTGACTTTCCTATAAAAGATTATTGTTTCTAAGCGTTCTTGGTAGAGGCTTTAGGGTTCTCAGTATAATATCATGTCATCTTCAAACAGAGCTAGATTTCTTCCTTTCCTATCCGGATGCTCTAACTATCTTTTTCTTGCTTAACTTCTTTTTTTTTTTTATTAGTGAAACACCATGAGGCACAGTTATAGATTTACAATTTTTTGTGCTTGGGTTTCGATTATACAATGATCAGATACCCATCCCTCCACCAGTGCCCATTTTCCACCACCATGGATAATATCCCCCCACCCCCATCCCCCCATCCCCCCTGTCTCTGTGGCAGGGCAATCCCCTGTGTTCTCTCTCTCCTTTTGGGTGTTGTGGTCTGCAAAAGAGGCATTGAGTGGCAAACATGTTCAGTCCATAGTCTACTTTCGACATGCATCTCCCCTCCTGGGAGGATCCTACAAACACCCTTTATTTGGTGCTCCCTTCTCTATCTGAACTGCCCTTTCCTCTAGGATACCCGGCTGGCCTCTAAGTTATGGAGTAATCCTCCTGGTGCTGATCTCAGCTATTCTTGGGTATTAATCTCATATTTTGTTACTTTATATCCCCCAGATGAATGCAATCTTTCTATGTCTATCCCTCTCTTTTTGACTCATTTCGCTTAGCATGATACTTTCCATATTGTACCACTTGTATGTAAATTTCATGACTTCATCTTTTCTAAGAGCTACATAGTACTCCATTGTGTAGATGTACCAAAGTTTCTTTAACCAGTCATCTGTTCTTGGGCATTCAGGTTTCTTCCAGTTTCTGGCTATTGTAAAGAGTGCTGCAATGAACAAACAAGTGCAGATGTCACTTCGACTATACATTTTTGCGTCTCTGGGCTATATTCCCAGGAGTGGTATTGCTGGGTCAAATGGGAGCTCAATTTCTAATTTTTTGAGAATCGTCCATATTGTTTTCCAGAAGGGCTGAACCAGTCGACATTCCCACCAACAGTGAAGGAGTGTCCCTTTCTCGCCACATCCACGCCAGCATCGGTTGCTTTTGTTCTTTTGAATGTGGGCCAGTCTCTGAGGTGTGAGATGGTATCTCATTGTGGTTTTGATCTGCATCTCCCTGATGATTAATGATGTAGAGCATTTTCTCATGTGCTTTTTTGCCATTCGGATTTCTTCTTTGAGAAAGTTTCTGTTCATTTCATTGCCCCATTTTTTGATGGAGTTGGATGTTTTCTTCTTGTGGAGTTTAACCAGTATTTTGTATATCCTGGATATCAACCCCTTGTCAGATGTGTATTCGGTGAATATCCTTTCCCATTCTGTAGACTGTCTTTGTATTTTGGTCACTGTTTCTTTTGAGGTGCAGAAGCTTCTTAGTTTAAGATAGTCCCATTTATCTATCTCTGTTTTCACTTGCTCGGCCAGTGGCGTGGCATCTTTGAAGATACCATTAGCTTCAATGTCATGCAGGGTTTTGCCAACTTTATCTTCAATGTACCTTATGGTTTCTGGTCTGATGTTGAGGTCTTTAATCCATTTTGATCTTACTTTTGTACATGGTGTTAGGCAGAGTTCTGAGCCTATTTTTTTGCATGTAGCCGTCCAGTGATGCCAACACAATTTATTAAAGAGGCTTTCCTTACTCCACTTCACATTACTTGCACCTTTATCAAAGATTAGATGAGCATATGATTGAGGGGAGATGTCAGTGTATTCAACCCTGTTCCATTGGTCTGCAGTTCTGCCTTTGTTCCAGTACCATGCTGTTTTAATTATTACTGCTTTGTAGTACAGTTTGAAGTTCGGGAGGTTGATTCCTCCCATTTTCTTTTTCCCAAGAATTGCTTTAGCTATTCGTGGGGGCTTATTGTTCCATATAAATTTTAGGAGTGTTTGCTACATTTCTTTGAAGAATGTCATGGGTATCCTTATAGGGATTGCATTGAATTTATACAATGCTTTCGGTAGTATTGCCATTTTGACAATGTTAAGTCTCCCGACCCATGAGCAGGGGATA